ACACCATTTGAAATCCTCGACCATGCTACTGGGTAGCCAGTTGGTTCACCAACTGCTACAACCCTGGTCAAAACTCTTGCGACATTAACGCAACAACTGGTGAAAATGACGCATTTTTTCTCCTCCCCCCCCTGTCCCCCCCCGGTTCAATGTTGACGTTATGGCTTTTTCAACACAACCAACATTGCTGAGGGGAGGGGGGACAGCAGAAACAGGTTCTTTCAACAACATTTCCAAGCATTTATAACAGGTTAAATACGATTTTAATAAGCAAGGTGTGTTTTCGCTCCTCATTTCCTTAGGTGTCCCAAGACGTTTTGACCAGGGTTGTAGTTTCGATTTTAAAGGAGCTGTGTTACGAAATTTATCAAAATTCAGACAGTACGAACTGCCACCAAATTGAGTGAAACACAAAAAATAACTTCTCAAAAACATGTTAGGAAGGTATAAATAACACAGTAAATACAAAAGATGGCACGGATGGTCAAACTTGAAGAACATTACAACGGATTGATATTGTGGGCTTTTGAAAACGTGTTAGCCTAACAGTTTTTCAAAGTTCATTTTTGTTGTTTATAACGTTTGATATACTGCTTGAGGTATATTTGTCGGACAAGAAGCTGTAATTTTGTCATTTGATAGTAATTTCTTCTCTAACGTTAATTTCCCATCGTTAAAAGTCCCAAGAGTGACCAACATCAATTTTCTCCTAACAATATCATCACATAATTAAAAGAAAAGTTTATGACAATAAATATAATGATCGCCTCAGGCAAAATGTTTTGATCTCTGAGCAGATTCTCTCAACTGTTTGTGTAAGGAAATGTATGGAGATCAGTTTGGAGAATTTGTATGTGGATATTATGGCTTAAGGTGGCTCGACCCAGTATTTTTGTAGGTACACCTTCCATCTTTGATGAATCTCTTAGACTTAACACATGTATACACGTAGACTAAACTTTATGATGATATGATGTTTTCGGCGATCGGAAAAATGACGTCATAATCTTGAAAAGGTCCTGAATTTAAGTAGTCGTCTTGAAAAGTCCTTGAATTCAAATAAGATCCTTAAAAAGTACTTGATTTCTTTATATGGTCTTAAAAAGTCGTTGAAATTGACTACTTTGTTTACCCCACATCATTTTCTGTGAAATTGGAGAGCATAAAAAACTAGAGCATAGGAGAAACAAAAGGTACAAAACAGAGAAAAAGGTCAACGGAGTGAAACGAAAATAAATGGTCGGCATAAAACCGGAAGCAACAATATTTTATCTCTGTTTTTTATTTCTAATGCTATTTCTTATCTCATACTACAAGTCATACCCAGTGACTGTTGTCATTTTGCAAAGTAGTGTTGTTACGGAAAGTAGTACGACATAATGTGAGAGATGATCAACCATGGCTGAGGATGTAAAAATCGTAAATGACTCCACTGAGTGTTTTAGCCAGTATCGTGTTCAAAAGGGGGTCAAAGAATGCCAGTTTATTGAATAAATCTTAGACCTTGAAAACTGTAATTTTTTCTTGAAAAGTCCTTGAGTTTTGTTTCTCTGAAGTTGTACAAACCATGGTGACGGTACAGCCCCTCTAATCGTGTTACAAAAAAACAGACATGCCGACCTGTGAATATTCTGACTGTAGTGTCTTTACAAACAAAGCATTTGCAAGTGCGTGTTGCCATGTACTGTCTTCGTGACTTGTTTTACATTAGTTTGAGTTCCTTATATGTGTCCTTGTCTTCTAGGATGGACAAAGCATTTGGTGATAGGATTGATGGCACAGGTATGCTTTCTCTAGTTTACAATGCAAAGGCGTTTTGTAAGACGACAGGTCGTTTTAAGTGGAAAAGTAAAGTCTGGCGTCACTGTTGCAATGTACTCTCTTTTTGCGACCTTTTGGCTATTTTGAAATGACTGGTCATGGTAGCCTATGTGAAGGTCTCCCCGGGGGGACGCTCCAGAATTCCCCGTGGGAGAACTTGCTCGCAGGCCAGGTCAGAATTTAGGTCAGAATTGAAGATTTGATCCACGGAGTAGAAACTTGGAACAACTTTGTGTAGTATAATAAACAGTATAAATGAAAATTACTGCATAAGCTTTTTAGTGGCACTGATTTCATTCACCGACTCCAAAACGTTATCTACCCATCACTTAAAACAGTACCATCAGGTCCAGGTTGTTCAAATGTTGGACAGCGCTATCCACCGGATAAATCACCATCCAGCACTGAGATAAGCGTAAGGAAAACCAATTGCGTTATTGACTGGATAGTGATTTATCCGGTGGATAGCGCTATCCACCTTTTGAACAACTGGGGCCAGAACAGAAGTGATAAGTATTTTTCATTTGAATGGACACTGTTCAGGATTTATCCACAGACTCGTAATAGCAACAGAAGTACGGGAACTGATACCTTTTTAGCTGGATATATTAGCCGGTGGCACTTAAGGATTTCGTGTGCTCGTTTTCTTAACGAATTTTTCTTTTTCAGACGATGAAACTGCAGGGAAAGTAGGGATCACCAGCAGACTTTCTCGAGTGGAACGACAGGTTTTCTGAACACATTTGTTTCAAATCTCTGATTTAGAACTCGATCAAAGGGGCAATGTTATGCTATTTTCTACTCATTTAACAAGCTGAAACGTGTCTCATTATCTACTGAGTTCTTTAAAGTAATGGTTCAGTTTTGTTAGTTGTTTAGGCGTTAAAACTGTTTGCAATCGTTGGTTGCTGTGCATTGCAAGGATGGACATAGACTGAAACTTGAAAAAATTGAACCAACTTGATCAAAATTATGTTTGCTGCTCCAGCGTGCAAAGAAAGTCGTGTCCGCAGGGTTGTCATTAACAGCCGGGGGCCGGGGATTTCCCCCAGCTACCTGGAAAATAGAAGGAAAATAGAACCGAAAGAAATCCCTAGCTGTTTGATTTCCCGCCTACTTGTTAAATTTAACCGGTAACTTGAAATCTTAGTTACAGCCCTGTCAGTCCGATAGCCCGGGGCTGGGGCCCGTTTCTCGAAAGTCCCGATAATTAACGGGCCCGGTAAGCTGACCCCGTTTACATTAAAGATCGAGGTTTCAATAGTTTTGCATCTAACATGATAAAACTATCAGTTAATGAAACAAAATGGAGTAGTTTGCGAGCCAGGACCCTTGCATTTATTCTTTATATTTCGATTTGAATATTTGATTTCGGGCCCGAAAAGTTACCGGGACGTTCGAGAAACGGGCCCCTGGTGGATTTTGCAATCGGGTTAGTGAATTCTGTTCTTAACTTGCACGAAGGGCGAGTGACGTTTTTTGGGAAATTCAAACTACAGAAGAACTGTAATCAGTTCTGCTTATCAAAAAAATGTTTGGGCTAGTTAAAAAGACTGTTGGGCTAGTACTTACTAGCAACAACTTGCCCGATTGGCAAACCATAAAACTGACTTTCTTTGCACCCTGTGCTACCTGGTGAAATTTGTTTTATATATTCTTCACACCTCTACAAGAGCAGTACGTGTATGATGGCATTATTAATGAATTTAGGAGAAAATTTATTAGCAATATCCTCGTTACCCGGCCCTCTTTAAGATGAAACTGAACCACTTGATTTGTCCTAAATGCTTTTCTTTTTCTCTTTTATTCTTACTCGATTTCCTTTTTGTTTAGGTGCATTTGATGGATTCCAAGCTAGAGGCAGTGTTGCAGATTCTTCACAACATTCAAAATTCACCAAATTACCCTTCTGGAGGGAGTACCGCATATGATTTATTCCGTGGACACGCCGACGGCGTGTCTTCTAGGCGCTCCTCCGTTTCACGCGCACATTCAGATCCGTTGGATGTAAGAACTCAAATGGCGTTGGACACTAATCAAATTACCTCAAACGTGACACCAAATTCGGATATACCTTGCGTGACACTCAGTGATCCTGAGTCAGTACAAAGTTCGCTGTCGTTTGGTGATCGTCCCCATAGCTCACGAACGACGTCTTTGGGTTCATTACACGGGAGTGTCACAGGTGGAGACCATCCAAACACTGTCCAGTTAGATGGCTTGTACATCAGTGACGTAGGTACTCTAAACGCCCCACAGCTGTCACGCATTCTTGTTCCGGATAAGCGTCAGTTGTCGGACGTTACCGAAGAGAGTCTGACAGGTTCTAAAGAAACCATCGGCTTCCCTGGATCAATGTCTCAACAGAATTCTACCGCTTCTGAAACTGATCCAGCTGCGGGGGCCGATGAAAGTGAGCCGAAACCGGGGGAGATGAGTAAGGAGAAGGAACGGGCGGAAGTGGACGTTGAGCCCGGGCCGGGGGATATTGAAGTGGTGTGGGAAAAACAAGAACCGACTACATTATCTCGCCGTAGAAAACGGAGTCAGCTGAGCTTAGATAGAACTTCGGAATCAGAATTACAGGACGAGAAAGCGTCAAGGGAACAACACTCGCCTTCCTTCTCCACAGGCGAAGGCGAAGCTTTTGATGATCGAGACGTTGCCGAGCGTTATACGGGCACGCCGGAGCGAAGAGACTCGATAAATGGGCGCCGAAGGAGCGCTGGAAAAAGAGATTCCCAGGTTTATGCTGAGGGACGGAGATCCCCACGAGAGTCGGAAGCTGGACGTTTTGACGAGTTAACCCGGACCGCGCCGACAAGGATGTCGGCAAAAAGGCGCCCGCTTGTCAAATCAAATCCCGTAGATGTGTAGGGTTTATTAAATTTGCCATTGTTCTCAACGAGGAAGGCAAATTCCTACTTATCCTCCCGCCACCTAACTGAGCTGGAGTCAAGAAAAAAGGAACGTCTAATGATCCTGGCTGCCGTAATTTGGCCCATATTACTTTATACTTCTTGGTAGTTTAGTATGTCACGCTATTTAAGGCTGCCAGATGTCAGCGTCACACCATTTAAGAGAATTCTGTGATCTGAAGACTGCTGTTTGAATTGGCTTTTGACCGTACAATCTCCCGATTTGAAAAAGGATGAACAAACAAACAAATGGAAAAAATACTAGAAGCCATTTTCGAAAAACACCTTCAGATGGTGTAAAATCAATACAAAGGAAAGGAATTTCAGTCGAATATTAAACTCCTTAGGTGTGTACGGCAGATAACAGTTGCGCATATTTTACTTAATGCTCGCAATTTCCTTAAATACTACCTAACTCCAATCACAGATATAGGCAGCCTACGCGTAGCCGTCCACTCCACCCCCTAAAGAAAACGGTGCTTTTTTTTCTATAGGTGGGGGAAGATATGACTAACCATGGCTAAGCAAGGGGCATCTATTCCCCTTTCAAGCCAATCAGAGAAGTCCCTAAGGATGATATATATGTCATAACTTGACACTTCAGAAGTTTTGCAAGGTTAAACCATGGATAATCTATTATCAATGGTTAAACTTTGCAGAAGCTGATTTTCTAAGGTACAATACTACATACTGAGTAAAACGTCGTAGCACCACAAGATCTTTTTGATGAAAGATTTATGGGAAGCTGGTCTCCGTAAGTGGTGCAGTGTTGATACAGACAAGTTGCTTGCGCAGTATACCCCATGCTTGTAAATACGGCTGGGTTGGGAATGAAGACGACATTTTCAATCCTCGGAACAGAATTATAAAAATATAAACGCAAGGTTAGACAGCAAAAGATATAAAAACACATTTTTCTCTAGGCTAAAATATATCAGCTGTTGATTAGGAAATTTAAGAGGCCGTTATTTAAGTTGAAGATGTCTGTGGATCGTTTTTTATTACAAACTGCCAAGATATGTCTCGCTTATAGGTGTATTTTCATATTTTCGCAAGACACTCGACTGTGAAACAGTTTATTCCGGATGTACAGTTTAATATAATTAAGACAAATGTGAATAGAAAATACTTATTAAAACAAAGAGGAAAGGAATACAAATGTTCTGTGTCTGTTCTTAATGGAAATAATATTTTCCTTTTTCTTCAAGCGATTCGTACGAGGCCATTTTTTGTACGACGCTCGGAACACGTGACCTAGAACCTTGCACCTTGTTTCCCCCCAACATTTCGCATAACCTTCGCCTCTTATCTCTCCCGATTATTGTCTGAAGAGAACTCGAAGACAATGGTTATGCAAAATTTTGGGAGGTAAAGAAGGTGCGTTATGGTCTACGTGGTGAATAGGCTAAAATATTGACGCCTGGGGATTTGGCAAATACACCCACAACTATGTAAAAAGACTTCTTAAGCTTGTATGGTTATTTTCCAAAAAAAGGTCCCAGGGGAATTTGTCCCTTTGTCTTTTCGGAAATTATGTACACATATGGTGTTTGCTGTTTTGAAGAGAAGTCTCGTGAGAAAGCAGTAGTACAAGTGACTGGCTTTCTAGTAGAAAAGAAACGGGGGCACAGAAGGGGGAAAAGACATTCCAAGATTTGACTTCAGGAAAGCGTTGCGCACGTTATACCACAAGTTCAAATTATTGATTTATTTTATAAGGCCTAGGAAAACTATTTCAGATCCTCATAAATGATAAAACTGTCTGTAAATCCAAGGGAACCATTTTTGAAAATAGTTGAAACTCACTAGATTAAATTACTTATCTAAAAACCGCCTCCTCGAATTTAAAAAGTGGATTACTAGGTATTTTGTACAGATCTATGAAGTTGTCCTTATAGTGTCACGCATTACTCCTTGTAGAGTCACGTAATATCTGTTCATTGTGTCACGCACTTGTCGAGATAACTCAGGTAGCTTTTCCCAAATCTATTTTCTTCTGAAGTGCCCGAGAGGAATGATAAATCATGGAGTCTATGAGACCAGCAACTGCAAAAACAAAAAGCGATCAAGTACCATAAGAAAGTAGAAGAGGAAAAAGGGCAACCTAGAACAGCAAGAAAAATACAAACGAAAAGCCGCGCCTTACCAGTAAATATACCTCCGACAATAGCACAAACTCCAGTGAGGAAATGCATAAAGGACCTAAAATAGAAAAAAAGGGTGAGAAATTAGGCCACTTCCGAGTTCCAAAAACGCTCACTTTCAAAATGAGGCCGGCACAACCTTTCTTGTGAAAATGAGTTTTATTTGCATGAGAATGAAAAACCATCTCCATATCAAAGGGCTCAGGGCTGTGCACTTAACCTCGTTTTGATACAGAGGCCTGGGGAAACTCGGAAATGGCTTTTTGCAGAAAGGGTTCGCCTGACTCGTCCCCAGTCGTCTCTCAGTCTCCTATTAATAGACGAGTACGAGAACGAGATTTTCTTATACCGAGTAGCGCACGCCCGTGAACCGGCAGCGTCATTTTGAGGCCGGCGGGGAAGCAAGGAAGTATCAAGAACTCACCTTCGGCTTTCCGTGTACTGAACAACCATCGGCGAGAATTCATACAAGACAAAAACCCCTACGACGCAAATGAAAAGTGAAAAGATTTAGCATCAGTTGCTTTAGATTTGCTAATGTACGCTTTTGTTAGCGTCCACTGACAAAACAAATTGGATGATCACTATACGTTTCTGGGAAACTGCCCACCTTCCCCTTCCCTAAGCCATCATTAACACTTATTTCTCACTTAGGGCAAAATATTGGCTTAGGGGAGGAGTAGGTGGGCAGTTTGGACATACCTGGAAGGCCGTGTTCACCGGACACTTGTCGGATAACCCGCTTGTGTTTTGTTACTGAGAACTGATTCGTTTTAACAACCTGCAGGAAGGATACGAAAAAATGAACAAACAAGGCTCATTTACTAACGAGATTTCGGAAACAACCTGGGGTTTTCATAAATTTAGCAAAGACAACTTGATGATCTCAAAACCGACCTGATCAATAGCAAATCGGCAAATTGAGCATCGGAAGTCGCGTTTAGTCCTTTCTGCGCGCTTTCGCGTTACATTTGACGTTGCGTTCTTTTTTCTATAGATCCGCCTTGTAACTGCTAAGTGACTTTTCAACGGACTAGAAGTAGCCATTCTTAGAGGTGTTGCGTGCGACTAGGTCGGTGTTGTGTCGGATTGCATTATGGGAATGTTTTAGGAGATGAATTTTGACCCAGTTTACTTCACAATCTCGTCAAAGCCAATGAACGAAACGATAGAATCTCCAAAACAGTCCCACAACGCAATGCTCTTTCACCTGATTTCATACTTGTGCCTACATCAGGGGCACCCAACTACTATTTTCTGTAAAATATCTGTTCGGAGAAGCAAATATTGCCCAGAGTTTTCTTATGCTTGAGGACGGCTAAAAATTTCTAGAAGAAGGTCCCATTCATGCACAATTTTCGAAGCTTATCTAATAAAGTCCTTACGATTTTCTGAAGTTTAATTTTTCATAATTTACTACCCAGGTTACACTATTTTTCTTGCAAATTTTCGGTGATGGAGAGATGGAATCAGAAAAATTCTCGCTTTCGTAAAACGTTAAATTAAACCTGAAATTTTCGGGAAAATAACACTGGAGCCCTTGTAATTTCGAAGACTTCCCCTAGGATGACCAAACAGATAAAAATTTTGTAGCGCCGCTTAGAATGCTTTTCTAGAGATCTTAAAGTACTCTGGATGGCCTAAAAAGAGCTTTCATCGTAATTTTAGGAAACCGTCCTTGGGTGCCCCTCCTAAATGCAATCAAAAAATGCGAAGGGTCCTACAGTACAGTACTCACCTCTCCGTTTAACTTCCGGTATATTGTGGGAACTATCTTCACAAAGTACTGGTACATACTTCCGGCTAAGTAAAACGAAATAAGAGGAAATGAACAGCATCTTTCATAATTTACCACATAAGGAAGCAAAGAGAAAGCGTGATAAAATAGGCCATTTCCGGATAGCTTTTAGTGCCGACACGAAAACCCATCCGGTATCGTGTCAACACCCATCCGATTTGTGACGCAGCCTTCGCTCCGTTACAGGAATCACGCCGCACGGTACGGTTTTGCAACATTGCTGCAAAACGAGTTGAATAGCGATGTTGCGTGTTTTACCTTGTTGCAAGACAGGTTTAAACGTGAGTGGCAAAACGCGCAACATCGCCATTCAACTTGCACTTTAACGTCTATAGCGTAAAAACAGCCAATGTTGCACGGTTTGTTGCCTGTTTTTTACCGAAGATTTAGGCGGACACGTCCTTTAAAGAAAGATTAATATATTTGCAGCTTTTTTTCTGGCACAATTTGGCAACATCTTAAAATTTCTAATGATTTATGTAACAATTTGAGACTTACGATCTTCAGCAGCGACATAAGTATTATCCAAAGGATGCTTTATACCAGGATATTCATGGCCAAACGATAGATGGCGAATATGATGAGTAAGGTTAAACTGCAACATACAAATAATTATTATTTTATAATACGAAGATAATTGCCGCAGAGCTAATTCTCTCACTGTTAAAGAATTCTAAATCTAGTTTTGCCAAATAATTGGAAACAATGGCTCAGGGAAAGTAAACGGCAATTGAAAGGTGAGATTATTTTATTCACATACTCAAAAGTTAGAACGACATGAACACACTAAATAAATAGTACAATAAGAATACTTCTGAAGAGGATTCATCAGAATGATCACACCAGATAGAATTCCATCCACGGCGGAGTCAAAAGTTAGAACAACATACAACGTACTAAATAAACAGCACCATGCGAAAGGACTACTAAACTAAAAGAGGTTTCAGTGGAATACGTAACCTACCTGAGTAGACCCGAACGGCTGCAAATCATGCACTATAAAATAAAACAAGAAACAATACATTCTACATTACATAGAGCACAAGAGAACGTTGTGACAAGAAGAGCTTTTCATTCTCTACAACTTGCCGTTTTAGAAGATCTGATTCACTCACATAAGTTGCTGAAAAAAGTTAAATGTAAAACAACTCCTTAATCTTCCCACTTTTAAAGAGCGACTTGACTTTGTTTTATAGTCTCAGTCTGAGCAGAACCTTAACTTGAAATAATCAATTTACTTAAATGGATAGATAAACTTCATTATTATTCATTCAAAACATTTCTCCATTTCTGATTGGCTAAAAGCACACGCATAATTCGCTACTGTTGTCTAAATTTGGAAGAATTTTGCTATTAATCAACTGATGACGTCAAAAGTGTAGCAGAGTTGCAGGTTAATGCACCATTAACCGAGAAGACCTGAGGACGAGGTTGAGTTGTTTGGTTGTGGAAAGAAAAATAGCCGAACAGTCGGCGGAGCATTTTACTCGTTTCACGACGAACTATTGTCTAAAAACATAGCAAGAAGACAACTCGATGGAGAGCATCTGCTATTTGGAGTACATTAATTTTTCAGACCTGAACAGCCCTTTATCTTCTAAACATGCCCTATCAAGGTGAACTAAACATCGATGAAGGCAAGCATGTTTTAGCTTGTTTTTAAACTAGGGATTATTTTGAATGAATAATAAAGCAATTAATGTGTCAGAGCGGTAATTACATGTAACTGACGTACAAAATCGATCATTCCTGAATCTTTAATTTTGTACTTAAAATGTATATTAGTGCTGGTGGTGCAAACTGTTTTAAGTTTATTTTAAATTTATACACTTTAGTTATTGGCAGTGAATTATAGTCAATGATTATTTTCTTTAACTCGTCCTAAAATCTTAGAAATAGTTTATGTTATGACTATGGCCGAAAGATTCTTTTTTCCCTAAACTCTAAATAAATGACTTTTGGTTCTTATACATTTAAGTTTATTATCTTCTTTCACACAGAAGCTTAAACATGTTTAAAAGCAAATAGGTAAACCATGGTTGAAGTATTGCCTTACGTGTGTTTACCAAAGTTGGTTAGTGATTTTAGATTTGTCAGATTCAGATTTGGAAGCACGAAAGCACACATTTAAACTTACTAACTTTATTATTCAACAAACAATCAGTCCAACTTTTTTTTCACTTTTCTGTTGGTAAATTATCAATTTTTTAACCCTAGTTTAACTAAAATATGTTTCACTGTATCCTCTCACACAGACACATTTTGACTTATCATACAATCTCTACTCCCCAACAAACATTGGGAAGCAAAGATTGCCTGACAAGCCAAAAGAATGTCTGCATGGGAGGCCTGTTTTGCTGGCGTGATTGTCGCATTAGAAGAAACATTTTCACTTACTATTCACTCTTATAACATTTCCCCCTGAACTTAACTTGAGGATAGCAACTGAAAAGGGCAAAACCGTTATTAGAGTTATGAAACCATTTATTTTTATGGTAATTTCATGCAATTTTTGTTTCATCAAATGACTTGATTGATTTCAGTTAGATGTATAATTTCAACAAGAATTTATCTTTTTATTTCAATGTTTTTAACAATCAGGGATTTTAACTGTGCACTAATAGTTTAAAAGATTTATCAATATTCTGAAAATGTGCTTTAAGATAATGTTTAGAAGTTAATTCATTTTTTATTAACTTTGACTGAAGGTCTTTTTAACAATGATTTTAAATAAGCTCTTACAACAGTTGTAGTTTGTGTGTTAATACATATCCTGTGCATAGGCTGAAATGGATGTTGACAGCAATAAGAACTTCCCCCATGGGGGGAGGGGTATTGGACCTAACCCCCTCCACCCCTCCTGGCTGTTGAAAGCTTTAGACCAAGAAATCATGTACCTCTAGCTCCAACACCCTTACTGTATTTAACAGGTGTATACATGTACACAGGCATAAATTTTACAAACAAATACATCTACCTGCATTAACATTCAACTGTATTCCAAAGAATGTCCTGTCAGTGAGTGCAAAATTTCTACAATACTAGTTTGTGATTAACAAGTTCTGCTCAGACTTAAACCAGTCATGGAAGCAGACCTTCTTAAGTTACTAATGATGTTAAAATTAACTTACAGCAGGTTGTAATTTTATCAGATAAATAAAGTACACGTATGTAACTCACCGTGGACATGATGCTGTTGGAAACTCTTTCCAGGAGCAAAATGAAAGTTTCCAGCTACCTTGTTCACCTCCAAATGGCCTGTAACTAAACATCCTTCATTTTTCTGTTCATTCAGTTTGTCCTTCCAGCCTTCTCGCACACACTGCATAAAAATGTAACAGCATCATAAAAATATTGATTACATGTATACAATGTATGTAATATCAGTTTTTTCTTTGTTTTTTTATGTATTTCCTTTATCTTTACGAGCCCTCCACAAAAATTAGTATTTGAAAGAGAAAAAGACAACTTTCATACTATCCAAACTTAAGGATGCCCCAACATTCAATGAATGTATTTAAACATAGTTATTAGAGGAGACTGGTTATGAAAAGTGGCAAACATCAATGATAAAAACAACAGTGCTGCAGTTTATGTTCAAAGCACCGTGAAAGTGCACAATCCTTTGTTTTCTGTTGGCAAATTGTTACGGAATAAATTAATGCAACGTTTTTATTGGTCAATACAATCAAAATGATAGGAATTCTTTTGAACGTTGTGCACTTTCAGGTCCACAAAAACATATAACAAAGGAGTCTGACGGGTTTCATAACCATTCCACTCAATTAACTATGATTTAAAGGAGCTGTTTCACGATTTTCTGGTATCACTTTACCAACTTAAAAAGAATTTACAATCAGAGTACTCTACAACTGTACTCAGGCTCAACTATAAGAGAAGACTAGTATGACTTTGGCTTGGCCAGGATGTAAATGGATTGCATCTAAAAAGAATCGGAATGGGTCAACCTCAGTAATAGAGTTACACTCCTTCGTCAACAAAAAATGACCAAAAATTGACCACACTTACTTTGTTTTCCCTTTGATTTCCAATAAAACAGTTGCTGAGAATACTTCATTATAATTTTAACTCAGCTTTGATATAAAAATATGGAACCCACGATTGCATAGCCCCTTAGGTAAAGACAAGTGACTATTTCTTGCACCTGTTTAATGTTGTCTACTTCAGACAGAGCCCATCCTTTTCTTCTGTAAGCTTCTCTTACGTCTTCACATGTGTTACAACATTCTTTACCAGGAGTCTCCGCTCCGTAACATGATTCACATCTGTTAGGATCAAGCTGTCACACAAAAAAATTGTAATTGAAATTTAATATCAGATACAGATAAGGTTATCTAAATAGTGTTGACTGGAGGACCTTGGATGCTAATGAAGATACTTTGTTTCAGTTGGAAAGAACCCTCCGCATCTCCACCCACAGCCAATCTTCAATCAGGTTTTGTACTATTTTAATAAGGCCATCCCCCTTTTTTTCATTTAGCGTCGCACGCGTTTCCTGATATTGGGTCGGTCAGTCGGTCGGATTGAAAAAAAAAAAATCACAAGAAGTCTCAGAATAGGAGGCCCTGGTACCCCAGGACGACGTTGAAAGTTAACATTCACATACATGTATTTGGATTAAGAAAATACACAATATACTGTACAATGTGTTCATGTTTTTCTCTATGCTGTTACTATGCTCATTTTTCAGATTAAAAGAATTATTTCAAGTGAAAAATGGTTTAACTACGTCATTACTTTTTTTTTTGGCCAAAAATTTGGGTTGGTCGAACGACGCTAAACAGAGAAAAAAAAAGAGGATGGCCTAACGATAATTTATTTTAAAACTCATATCTAAGGGTCAAACATGCCACTTAATTACCATTTGCTACACAATAATCAAACTAACCTCTAATAATTCTTTTGCTTCATGACTCTTGTCACCTAGATCTGTGACATAACAAGAGAAATATTACTGTGTGCACTTTACTACAGTTGAAGTTCCATTTAAGTAGCCCTCCCTCATAAACAAGCGGTCAGATCTCAAAGTCCCAACTAATATTGTAGAAAAGTACCACCCTGATGAGAATTTTCCTGTTGTGGTCACCTCTATATGTACTAAGTGGCCATCAAGCGCTTGTCTGATATACTTTGCTTGGCTTCATTTAAAAAATATGATATGATGATGGTGAATACCGTCTTCAATAGAAGGTGAGGACTTACAAAATAAAGCTCAAATAAAGTGATGTTTCTGCTAAAGATTATGCTAATTTATGACAAACCACTCTTGAGCAACCAACTTAACTAAACCTTAATCCTTTAAGCCCTAAGAGTGATCAGCATCAAATTTCTCCTTGTAATAGCAATGCTTTGTACCTCAGAGTGGTCATGTGAATTATGGACATGATCACACAAGATGAAAATGATTGATATTTTATCAACTTCTCCCCACTTCTTCCATAGGAAATGAATTGGGGCAACAAATGAGAATTCAAATTTTGATCTTAGGGTTTAAAGGGTTAACTGTAACATTTGTTCTTTTTTTTACACTAACCTCCTTTTTCTGCATTTTCATCAATTGGCTCTCCATTTAGATCCATTCTTGTTTTAAATATACTATGCATAACATCAATCTAAATAATTATAATGACATACATTTTATGGGAAGAAATGCAAATACTATAAATTATTTATTGAAAAAATAAATCGCATGACAATAAGAAATACAGCTAGATCAAAAATGCTGAAACGTAATAAAGCAGATCTCTTTATGACACAGCTTGGGTAACAGGAACTGCTCATTGCCACTAAAACTACCTCAAAGGTATTGTCAAAATATTTTATTTATTTATTTATTTTTTAGCAGAAAATCAGAAATAACAATAGCAGGTGTACATGTATCTGGGCAGCTTGCAAAGAAAGTGGTGTCCGATAGCCACCCGGGGCTAGTGAATTTTGAGGAATTTGAATAACAGAAGAACTGTGAGATCAATTCTGCTCTTCAAAAAGCTTTTGGGGCTAGTTGAAATGACATCTGGTCTAGTAAATGTTAGCTTCAGTTTGCCCGAATGGCAAGCTGTAAAAATGATTTTCTTTGCACCCTTCTGGGCAAGCAACATTTAAACAAAAAAAAAGCAAGGGATATCAAAGCATACACTAATAAATGTCGGTTTCGGAAAATAACACGTACATACATGTGTCTCTATATCATTATGAAAATGCTGGTGACTAACCTTCCTAAATGCAAAAGGCCAGATTCAAATTATTAAAATATACTAGCACTGAAGCTAAGTAAAGGGTACATGTATTGAACAAAAAAAATCACATTGAGATTCGGAGATGAATAAATCATTTCTTTTGCTTTATGCCCCTCAGCCTCGGAGCCAAGTATGAAATTTGATAATTTGACACTTGATGGCCTGCCTAAAAGCTAGCACATAAAATATACAGATACCTGCTGCTCACCAGACACGTCCATTGCGTCAATACTTAAATCTGAAAATAAGGAATACCAACTTTATTTAATTCCAGAAGAATTTTTATAAATGGTTGATGAGAGCAATACGTAGACCATAATGCAACAAGTTTAGAAAAAAACATTACAGTGACTGCAAAGTTATATGCTACGCCAAAAGTGACAAAATATCAAAGATGCAACTTTATAATTCAAATCCACCAATTCACTCTCAAGATCGATAAAATTATCATCAATTTGCTTTTTGAATGTGTCAAGATAGTAGAATTTAATTTCAATTCCCACGTGTTTCATGTCATGTATCAAGAGTCACGTTTTCTAAATCAAGATGCATGTTTTTTAAATCAAGAAGGGAGACGACAATTTTTGATCAGTTTGTTTCCGAGGGGGACTGAAACCGAAAAATCTGCCATGCTCCATGGAATGCTCCATGAAGAACCCCGTCCATTCTTGCCCATTCCCGCCCTCCCGCGTTAGACATGGCGGAGGAAGGAATCGAAGAACTTGTCAGAAGAATCATTCGAGCAGCACAAGGAATTAACACATCTCGAACACATCTGAAACGTGTCAACACCTGACGAAGACCTGAGGCGGCGATTTAAGAACGAGATAGGCTTGATCAGAAAGAAAGCAGAACAGGCTCTTGTAGAAGCGGTGGTGAAATATCACCACAGGCGCGCAGAACGATTAAAAAACAAGCTTCGTAAACTCGAACAGTATAAATCTCGCAGGAATACTGTAAGGAGTGATATAGGAATACTAGGCAGACGTCTCACCAGAAAACGCAATCACCGGCTAGCAAGAAAACTGTCAACAAAGATGACAATGTAAATTGAAGACCAAGATTAGCGAAGCCGATGTATTGTTAGAACAAATGAGATCACAAGTGTGTGCGAATAAACAAAGTTAATCTTACTGTTGTCTCCGTATCAGACTCCTTAGAAGTAAGGGGAAAAGGGAAAGCAAACCCCAGAGATAACAAAGCGGCCAAAAACCGCAAAAGAAAAGAGCGGAGAAAAATCAAAGACAAAAAGCGCTCTTTTAACGCCATTGAGTCACACAAACAGTATATCAAAAACCTGTCAAATGAACAACTGACAGATAAGCAAATTACTCTACTATCGCGTGGTCTAAAGTTTATCCCTACACCCGTGACAAAAGAAAATCTTATCAGGCACCAGCTTCTCGCGGATTTCAATCAATTTGCGAGACGAATGCGACTACAATATATTTTTCACGGGGAAGAACACGAACCTCATCCTTTCCACGTGAAGTCGGACTGGGAACCACCAGTCCAGCTATCTGTAGCTCTGGAGACCTTCCTAGAGGAGGTAAAATTAGAGCTTGCAAGTATTGAATTTGACGAGCCAAAAGATAATATATCTACGGGAGAGCGCCGAGCTCTCAAAGAGTTATCGCGCAACAAAAGCGTTATTCTTAAGAAATCTGATAAAGGTAAACACCACCGTATTGATGAGCAGACAGGACAAACTAAACGAAGGTCAGGTTCTGCTTGATGATTTAAATAACTACCGACCTCTAGACAAACCAATGGTTGAAACTACAACCAAAAAAGCTCAACAACTTATTAAAACACTGCTCTCAGAAGGCCACATTGATAAAACAACGGCTAAATGGCTCTCCCTTACGCCCGATCCTCCGCGAATCCCCGTGTTTTACATTCTTGGACACGAAAGGAACAAAGGTGTCAGATTCAACAAGGATTCTATCCTTAACGTGCGAACACCTTCAAGCAGGGTCCGAAATTAACTTTTTAATATGGGCGCCAACTGGTGAGCAAGTATAAATTTTTGGTCGCCAGAGGGCAAATTATTTTCGCCAAAAATTCCCCTTGGTGGCTTGGTAACGTTCAACTCGTATTGATCGTAGCTGTTGTGGAGGTATATTTACAGGAAGATTCGTTTCCCTTTTAAATTAAAAAAATATCAGCAGGACAAAAAGTAAGACACCTGTTGGCAAAGAGCTTTGAGGTTTCAATTCTTAATCATTTTCTACGAACATGAAAGTCTACAATAACAACCAGCTTTACAAGTCGCCAGCTGGCGACCAGCTATGAAATTCTGTTCGCCAGGACTGAATTTTTGGTCGCATTGGTGACCAGGAAGGCGCAATTTTGGACCCTGTCAGGCCTACAGAAACATTCCAATACACGAATTTGTATTCGTGTCACCCACCAGGCGTCACCAAAGGCTTCATCAAAGGAGAAGCTTCAAGGCTTCTAACAAACAAATTCCTCTGAAATCACTTTTGAAGAGAACATGAGGAATTTTTCAACACGCCTCAAGAATAGAGATTACCCAGCTACAACTGTAGAAAAACATCTTTCAGAGGTCATTTTCGCAGACGGAAAGAAAGCACTAGAACAGAGAAAGGAAAATGCAAGTAAGAAAATACTACCCTTCGTAACGCAATACCACCCTGCGTTGCCCAACCTCAAGAACATACTCATGGGGAAATGGCACCTTATACAGAACCAACCATAATATTATCTCAGAAACATCTTTAAGGAACCTCCCCTCATTTCATATCGCAAAGGAAAATCCCTAAAAGACACTCAAGTAAGAGCTAAACTATAAAGGTTTTAAGACCAATCTATTTGCGAACTGCAGGAGTCGAGCAGGCCCGTCTACACTTTAAAACCTTGAATTGTAACCTGTGTGCTCGGTTTCAGTCCCTCTCGGAAACCAAACTGATCAAAAATTGTCGTCTCCCTTCTTGATTTAAAAAACATGCATCTTGATTTAGAAAACGTGTCTCTTGTTACATTACATGAAACACGTGGGAATTGAAATTAAATTCTACTATCTTGACACATTCAAAAAGCAAATTGATGATAATTTTATCGATCTTGAGAGTGAATTGGTGGATTTGAATTATAAAGTTGCATCTTTGATATTTTGTCACTTTTGGCGTAGCATAAAGTTATGTGACAGAATAAATCAGTACTTACAAACACATGGTAATTTAGGAAAAAGTGCATCTACATTAATTCTAAGCTTTTGACCTCTTGCTGTGTCTACATAAAGTTCAGGAGTCACCTGCAAATTCAACACAAAAACATCATGTACAAATTGCTACAAATTGTAACTACAATGTAGTAAGACCTCTTTCTAAAACATGCTACCACAGTATGTAACTTGACAAATAGTTATGAGATGTCAAAAAAATTAGAACTGCATTTTTACGCAAATTTATTTCAGTGTTTAAGGTTGCTTAATAGTATTCTTTTCCTTTTCAGTCCATGATTATAGGGTTTTAACCCTAGTCACAGTGAGTACTTCTTAAGGTGATATTGCATGGGATCATTTACAACGACAATTTTAGTGCAACATGACACTGCAAAGTTGGAGTGTCAATGTTGCAACCACTCGACATAATGTTGCAACACTGTGTTGTGCCCTAAAAATTATTGTTGCAAATCATCTTGTGCAAAAATATCACCTTAAGACTTAAACAGCAATACGTTGCCTAACCTTACCTCTGTTGTTAAATAGAAACTTAATTCTGATACAAACAACAGGAACATAAAAAATCCACTAACAAGGGTGACTGCAAAGAAATTGGAAAAAGACAAAAAATTAAAATGATTGGATTATGAATGAATCTTCAAAAATAAAATAGAAGACAACACTGTTTAAAAACATTGTTTTTATTATTATTAAGAGAGCTAATGCGCTTCTGGTTAGCAAATTTAAAATTATTAAAATATCAACAGGTGATGTCAGTTTGAGTATAGCTCTACAAGACAGTCTCAACAGTGAATGGTGATAAATTATTTCACCAAACATATAATTCACAATTTATTTAATGGTTTGACACTAAATACAGTGCGTGTTATAAGTGATGTCATGTTTGTGTGACAGGGCTATTATTTGCCTGTTTTGTTGTGATCTTAGCTTAATCACTGAGGCCCTTTGACGGTAAAATTCCAGCAAGCGACATGGCCTTGAAACAGTGACTTAAGACATATGAAACGGTGACAATATACCTGCCAACTCTCACGCCTTAGGCGTGAGTCTCACGCCTGCGGGTTGAAAACTTGTACAATAGAGCAATACTTATAGGGGCATGACCTCATGCTCAATAGGGGAAATGACTGGTTTTGAAATTCAGACTAGGGACATACGTATGTACCCCTGCCCCCCTTCCCCTGCTGAGCGGACCTCATTTCTGTGTTGACTGGTCTGTTACAGAAAGACCTGTTTAAAGGAAGGTGAATTTTGGGCAAATTTTTTTTGAACACAATATTGCCATAAATGATACTTAAGGATTTGCTGTGTTCTTTGCTCTGGTACCTTACAGCATAAGTTCACTATTTATTCTAAGACTGAAACCAAAATTATGCTTGCCTAGGTACACTGTACAATGATTGTTTGGATACAAGGGAAAAATTAATTATCTCAGTCAAACAAAAAAATCTGAGCCCTTTCATTCCTGATAATTTTTCAGCTTCTGTCAGAGTTTATACAGCTATTTCAACTTCAAAGTTAGGAGCACATTACTCAAGGTTGTGTGACAAACAGGTAGATACAGTTTTCTTCCGAGTTCTGTCACACAATGCACATTATCGGCTCTACTGGCCGGCCTAGAGAGTATATTATTCACTTTTTAAAATATAAGGGTATATTTTTTACTTTCAGTAGGATACAAGAGAAGTATGGTGAGGATTTTTTTACCAAAACTTTCAAGAGTATCGACATATTTTTTAAGACATCACAAATCAGTTTGACACATGGTTACATCTGATTGGCCAACAAATCGACAGGGAAGTCGAAGAAATATATTGAACGAAACATGCTTCATTCTTTTGACAACAGCAACACAGAAAAGAAAGAGCGAAAAACTTTAGTCACTTGAAAGGTTCGTGAGTTGAACTACTTAATTTTCTGGCCAATCGGCGTGTTCATTTACGATGCATAACTGCTAAGAATCTTGCCACGTTTACACGGTAAACAAGAACCAGAGGTTTCCCGCGATTCAAATCAAGCATAATTTATCTTCAATTACCGGTATTTTTTTGGAGGAGAAAAACAAAACAGATTATCGGCCGCAACTTTTGAATCTTTCTTTGAACAATGGGCTCTAAATAAGCTTACAAAACGGTGCTAAAAATCCATTTAGTATCGTTTAGGGCTTACGATACGAGCTTAATTCACTTACCGGCAGCGCCGCCACATGTTTTCACTCTGAAGTCTTCAAGAGTTTTGGGATAAGCGTCAAACTTCCTTAACGTGCTGACCAGGTCTTTAGTTTGCATTTTGATGTTTATAAAGGTAACCTGTCGGCACTAATCTTAGAGCTCCATTCCAGCTACTATCTGCTCATAGTAGATGCACAAATTTGAAATTGACTTGCGTTGCGCATGTGCGTTTTGGTTTCCGTGTCAAAAGACCGCCCCAGCCCTCCCTACACCAGTAAAATCTACAACAAAACTGAGCTGCACACGTTTCAGTTTTAATATTTCTTCAGTCTTTTACCTCTTTTATAGGAAGCAGGAAAGGGGGAAAGCGAAAACAGTGCAACATAATCGTTTTTCCCTGAAATTATGGACATACCGGTAGTCTGCAAAGAAATATTTAACTTATTTCCTAACCGGTTGATACAATCACTTACATCACAGCGTCGGATTTTTCTTTTATTAACGACATTTTTTTGGAGTTATTTAACAATTCCCAAAACAGAAATTTCGACTAGAATTCGGGTGCATAATGTTTTCCATTACGTAGACTGTACTCGCAATCGAGTAATGAAAAGTAATGAATCGGGTCGTCAAGACTAACAGGCTTAATTGTATAACGGGCAGAGGGAGGAGTAATCTCGCGAAACCCTGGTAAATGAACACGAACTCCAAGGCAGAAAAAACGCACGACATCTTCAGAAGACCCATTCATCTCGAAACTTTTTCAGTGGTATTCCATTTACATTAGGAACTTCCCGTTTTTTATTTCTTCGATATGGCAGACAATCTTCCGTTTAACAACGGCCGCAGAAACGATAACAACAGAAAAACGGAGTTAAGTTCAAACACTAACACAAGGTAAGCATTCTATCATTCCTTTCTTTGTGTCCGTCATGTTAGTACCGTGGATGCCAGAGACTTTTCATGCGCAATCAAACATGACAGAGATGCTGTTATTCGGATTCAGTTTAACTTTTCAAGTTAAAAATTGAAAATACAAATGTGGGAGACAAGCGACGAACAGGAAACACAAAACTTATTTTGGTCCTAGCAAAGTTGTTAAGGGTACAAACAAATAAAAAACCAAATCACTGACTTTTTAATTTCTCGACAACTTATTTTTGAAATTACAATATTGCTACTACTAGTTTATTTTTTTGACAATAATTAATACTACAAATTACTTCAGCGCTTTCCACAGAGTCCACTTTACTTTTACTTTACTTGCATGCATGGTTTGCTACGGCTTCCAATTTTAACAATACGCAGATAAATCGAGGAGAACGGAACGAAAAACGAGACCGCGAAAGCGCGCGGAAAGAACTGAAAAAATACGCAACTTCCGGTGCTCAAATTTGCCGCTCTGCCAATGGTTAATAGGACAACTGTACAATGACGTAATTTTACTAAGACTACCAGAATCCTAATTCCTTATTTCTAATTGTTTTGAGTCTGTAAATGTGGATGGAATTTTAAAGCGTGACTATCCAAAATGAGATGAAAGCAACTGACCAGTACTGTTTTATTGTGTCGTACAAGGTATTTCTAATTGTTTCGAGTCTCTAAACTACAACCTAGCTAAAGCGTGGCCATTTAAAAGAAAGCAACTGTGCTGTACTCTTCGAGCGTTGTGTTCTTTGGGTTGAAGTAGCAGGCAACCTCTGTTGAAATTTCAGGGGCAAAGCTGATGACCAACTAGTGACAGTCAGTCGTGTTTGTCCAAGTGGGTTTGCGTTTCTCCAGAAAAGCCTTGATTCCTTCTTGTCCATCGTGTAGCTCAAGGTTCTCAACCATCACTGCCTCGGCCTCTCTGTAAAAGAAGGGGAAAATGTTATATTTTAAGAAAATGGGGGTACAGGGCTGGTAGGAGAGCGAAAAACAAGCCTAGGTTTCGCAAGGTGAGGGGATTCAAGAGCTGATGTATTGAATGCAAGCGTTCCGTCAGAGTGAATTATCCCTGCAAAGTTACACGTACGTTTAAGAGAGTGTTTGAATTCTCCTTCTTCTTTAATTAAAAATAGAAATATGTTCACATTATTATTGTCATTAACATTGTCACAATCGTCATGACCATCATCATACCATTACCACCAACCCCGACACAACCACCACTGTCGTCTTCATCAATCATCGTCATCATCATCATCATCATTATCGCGAATCCCATCACCATCACCATCAACATCGACATCTCCGTCGTCATAATCATCATCGTTTGCTCTATCTAACATCTACATTACAAGATCGCACTAGTTCTGTTTTTCATCCCCACACAAATTGCCCCAAAATTTAAGACTGAATGTCCACGTTCAAACATGGTTCTTAAGAAATGTAATTTTTTTATCACGGTGAATGAACTAGTTGCACGATGGTAAGCTGACTGTTAGTGTTCACGGATGTACTTACACATAAGCCTGGTCTCTAGCCTTTGACACTTGGGAGTAGAAACCCGCTTTCCCCATGGCAACAACAGGCTGGCTTGAAGAGGCAATTTTCTCTGCGATTGCATTGACTTCTTCATCCAAACTTTCCTCTGGTACGACCTTGCTAAGGAGACCATGCTTTAGGGCCTCTGCAAAATCGGTATAATAAACATAGCACAGGTCAACAGAATGAACTTAAGTGTGACCGCTTTTACTTCTGTATGTCAAACACCACGATAAATGTATGGCAAAAACAACTATGTGGAAATTTGCTTTTCTGGTGGTGTGTAAACATGACTATTATCAATTTGTTAAAAGTGCAGCAATGTGTTTTACCATCAGCGCTGATTGGATAACCGGTTAGTAACATTTGCATGGCAACTTTTCTTGGCACAGCACGAGCCAGTGCAACGCCAGGAGTGGAGCAAAACAGACCAATGTTGACTCTGCAAAAAAATATATATATATTAGAATAAAAATTAATGATAAACATGTCGATAAGCGATTACAATATTTACTCAGAAAACGGGCTTTTCCAAGGAGGAGCTTCTTTGATGGAGGGCTCTTTAAAAAGTCATTTAATTTAAATGTTGGGCAACCTTCTGTTAGAAATGAGTAGTGTCGAGGGAAAGCGTCATGAATATTCGTATTTTTGACCATCTAAACTCTGGATTATAATGTCAAGCCTACATGTATGTACATTCTTTAGTGCTACAGAGTCCAGTTCACTGAGGTTTTTTCTTGTATTCAAGAACTACACATAGACTAGCACACTTCTTACAATGTTTTATTCAAGAAAATAATTATTCATACCCTTTATATCCCCCACCACACCTGACCCACCCCCACCCCCACCCACCAGATGGAAATTGCAGATAACCTTCAATTTTTCTTTTAACATTTTGAGTTTTAAGAACCGTTAGACCACCTTTGGAATTTCTAGTTACCCTCTATAGGTTGGGAATGGATATGATTCTTACCCAGGTGTAGCAAACTTTGCTTTATTAGAAGCTATAGCAATATCACAACTGGCAACCAACTGACACCCAGCAGCTGTGGCAAGTCCTATTAAATATAAACAAATACATACAAAATAAATACCGTAACATTCCAAAAATAAGCCCTGGGGCTTATATTTTTCAAAGGCCCTTTTTGAAGGGCTTATTTCTGGAGGGGCTTATATTCGAAGGGGCTTATCTACGGCGGGAAACTTGCGTTTCAAAATCAATTGGGCTAGCCTTACAGTTGGAAGAAAATTTACCGTTTTTGCTTTGTTTTACTTTGTATTTGAGGGTAATTTTCCAAGTACAAGCCCCTGGGGGGCTTATATTTGGAGGGGTGATTTAACGGAGAGTGTTTTGCATTACCAGTTTGGGAGGCTTATATTTGGAGGGGCTTATATATGGAGGGGCTTATTTTCGGAATTTTACGGTAAATAAATGAATAAATACACAATATACAGTGCAAACCATTTAAGTAATGGTCCACTAAGAAGAAAAGAACCAAACGCAATGAACTCGTTGGAATACAAAAAGGTGCCAACTTTACTATTGTCTCGACTACACTTCTGGCCCCAGTTGTTCAAATGGTGGATAACACTATCCATCGCATAAATTACTATCCACTGGATAGCGCAATTGGTTTTCCTAATACTTATCCGCTGGATAGTGATTTATCCAGTGGAAAGTGCTATCCATCTTTTGAACAACTTGGGTCTGATTGGTTTAAACATCAAATTTTTACGAAATCTTGGCAAAGCAGCATGTATATTAATCCCTTGTTCTCTAACCAGCTTCTTCATAACAAAATCTCGTCTGAGTCTAAGTAACACAGAAATCCTTGTGAGGAACTTGTGAAATCGTGAACTATTCTTGGCTAACGTTTGCAACTCTAAGTTATGATTGGTTGAAATCTTTTAACACACAAAAAACATCCTATAAAAATGGAGTTTAAATACATTTTATTATGTAAACTGACTTTTTGTAGGTCTACGCATTTTCTGTGTCAAAATGAAAACATTCCTAGGTCAGAAAAGTGTATTTTGCCATAACAAAGAAATTGCTTCCCATCTTACACGGATCATTACTTAAATGACTGAAATCTTATGTGCAGTACATTCCTGTGCTACTGTTTATTGCACAAGGTCGTTCTAACTTTCTGAGTCTGTGGGTCAAACACTTTAATAAGAGTAAGGCCCCACTCAAGTGAGAGCTAATGAATGGTGTTCCTGTGGTACTGTTTATTGCATATGTACAAGGTAGCACTAACTTTTGAATAATAAAGGGTTAAATTAACTCGAAAAACCGTGGACGAAGATCCTGCTAGTTGTAAATGTTGGATCTCTAGAAAAGAGATCTAATCAGCTAAAATATAAAGACCAAGAATGAGAAGTCCAAAGACTACTGCAAAGCTGATTTAAAACGAAATGTATTGTTTTTTATAACAATATTTCGGCTGGCCATACCAGCCTTCTTCAGGTTTACAGATGTTACTGAACTTATGTAGGACTTCTCGTTCTTAGTAATAACTTTTGAGTCTGTCAATAAAAATATGCTCATGAAAGTCTATTTAAGCAGTATTGTTCATTATATAAAACTAGCTAAAAAGAATTACCATTTACTTGGGCTATTACAGGAACAGGAAGATCCTGAAAATAAAAATAAAATATTCTAAAAATACAATTCTGTTTTGTGGATTGGCGTGTATTAACAAGGACATCAATTTCTACTTTCACCTATTATCAATGATAACAATGATGATGACAATGAAAATGATGATGCTTATGATGATGCTTATGCTAATGATGATGATGACGACAATGTTAACTGTAGCAGCATTGAAGAATGTGACGACAATCAATGACAACTGATGACACTGACAAATCTAAATCAAAAATTTTATTGTTTACCTGCACAAGAGTCATGACTTCTGTACACCGATGGAATATTCGGGCATGATAATCCTTTCCATGCTCCTTAGTCTACAAAACAGGTTTTAAGACTGACATGACACCCATGGTTTGTGTTATCTTTGATAGATTTCAGGGTTAGAAATTTATGTCAAATTACACCTGGGGCTACTATTTTGGTTGTCCAAGTCAACCTCTACCTTGAGCTATTTCCAAAATCCACAAAAAGGAATATACACTGCAGAGGTAGTTCTAATTATGAGGCATTTTATTTATAGTTTTAACATAAAAAATGATACCAAATTGGGTTGTTGGAGGGTCAACCAAACAGCACAAATTGGTCGCCCTGTTGATAATTTTAATTGGCATCACCCCTACTGAAGGAAACACAAAACTTATTTTGGTCCTAGCAAAGTTGTTAAGGGTACAAACAAATAAAAAACCAAATCACTGACTTTTTAATTTCTCGACAACTTATTTTTGAAATTACAATATTGCTACTACTAGTCTTTATTTTTTTGACAATAATTAATACTACAAATTACTTCAGCGCTTTCCACAGAGTCCACTTTACTTTTACTTCACTTGCATGCATGGTTTACTACGGCTTCCAATTTTAACAATACGCAGATAAATCGAGGAGAACGGAACGAAAAACGAGACCGCGAAAGCGCGCGGAAAGAACTGAAAAAATACGCAACTTCCGGTGCTCAAATTTGCCGCTCTGCCAATGGTTAACAGGACAACTGTACAATGACGTAATTTTACTAAGACTACCAGAATCCTAATTCCTTATTTCTAATTGTTTTGAGTCTGTAAATGTGGATGGAATTTTAAAGCGTGACTATCCAAAATGAGATGAAAGCAACTGACCAGTACTGTTTTATTGTGTCGTACAAGGTATTTCTAATTGTTTCGAGTCTCTAAACTACAACCTAGCTAAAGCGTGGCCATTTAAGAGAAAGCAACTGTGCTGTACTCTTCTAGCGTTGTGTTCTTTGGGTTGAAGCAGCAGGCAACCTCTGTTGAAATTTCAGGGGCAAAGCTGATGACCAACTAGTGACAGTCAGTCGTGTTTGTCCACGTGGGTTTGCGTTTCTCCAGAAAAGCCTTGATTCCTTCTTGTCCATCGTGTAGCTCAAGGTTCTCAACCATCACTGCCTCGGCCTCTCTGTAAAAGAAGGGGAAAATGTTATATTTTAAGAAACTGGGGGTACAGGGCTGGTAGGAGAGCGAAAAACAAGCCTAGGTTTCGCAAGGTGAGGGGATTCAAGAGCTGATGTATTGAATGCAAGCGTTCCGTCAGAGTGAATTATCCCTGCAAAGTTACACGTACGTTTAAGAGAGTGTTTGAATTCTCCTTCTTCTTTAATTAAAAATAGAAATATGTTCACATTATTATTGTCATTAACATTGTCACAATCGTCATGACCATCATCATACCATTATCACCAACACCGACATCACCACCACTGTCGTCTTCATCAATCATCATCACCATCATCATCATTATCGCGATTCCCATCACCATCACCATCAACATCAACATCTCCGTCGTCATAATCATCATCGTTTGCTCTATCTAACATCTACATTACAAGATCGCACTAGTTCTGTTTTTCATCCCCACACAAATTGCCCCAAAATTTAAGACTGAATGTCCACGTTCAAACATGGTTCTTAAGAAATGTAATTTTTTTTATCACGGTGAATGAACTAGTTGCACGATGGTAAGCTGACTGTTAGTGTTCACGGATGTACTTACACATAAGCCTGGTCTCTGGCCTTTGACACTTGGGAGTAGAAACCCGCTTTCCCCATGGCAACAACAGGCTGGCTTGAGGAGGCAATTTTCTCTGCGATTGCATTGACTTCTTCATCCAAACTTTCCTCTGGTACGACCTTGCTAAGGAGACCATGCTTTAGGGCCTCTGCAAAATCGGTATGATAAACATAGCACAGGTCAACAGAATGAACTTAAGTGTGACCGCTTTTACTTCTGTATGTCAAACACCACGATAAATGTATGGCAAAAACAACTATGTGGAAATTTGCTTTTCTGGTGGTGTGTAAACATGACTATTATCAATTTGTTAAAAGTGCAGCAATGTGTTTTACCATCAGCGCTGATTGGATAACCGGTTAGTAACATTTGCATGGCAACTTTTCTTGGCACAGCACGAGCCAGTGCAACGCCTGGAGTGGAGCAAAACAGACCAATGTTGACTCTGCAAAAAAATATATATATATTAGAATAAAAATTAATGATAAACATGTCGATAAGCGATTACAATATTTACTCAGAAAACGGGCTTTTCCAAGGAGGAGCTTCTTTGATGGAGGGCTCTTTAAAAAGTCATTTAATTTAAATGTTGGGCAACCTTCTGTTAGAAATGAGTAGTGTCGAGGGAAAGCGTCATGAATATTCGTATTTTTGACCATCTAAACTCTGGATTATAATGTCAAGCCTACATGTATGTACATTCTTTAGTGCTACAGAGTCCAGTTCACTGAGGTTTTTCTTGTATTCAAGAACTACACATAGACTAGCACACTTCTTACAATGTTTTATTCAAGAAAATAATTATTCATACCCTTTATATCCCCCACCACACCTGACCCACCCCCCCCCCACCCACCAGATGGAAATTGCAGATAACCTTCAATTTTTCTTTTAACATTTTGAGTTTTAAGAACCGTTAGACCACCTTTGGAATTTCTAGTTACCCTCTATAGGTTGGGAATGGATATGATTCTTACCCAGGTGTAGCAAACTTTGCTTTATTAGAAGCTATAGCAATATCACAACTGGCAACCAACTGACACCCAGCAGCTGTGGCAAGTCCTATTAAATATAAACAAATACATACAAAATAAATACCGTAACATTCCAAAAATAAGCCCTGGGGCTTATATTTTTCAAAGGCCCTTTTTGAAGGGCTTATTTCTGGAGGGGCTTATATTCGAAGGGGCTTATCTACGGAGGGAAATTTGTGTCTCAAAATCAATTGGACTAGCCTTATAGTTGGAGGAAAATTTACAGTTTTTGCTTTGTTTTACTTTGTATTTGAGGGTAATTTTCCAAGTACAAGCCCCTGGGGGGCTTATATTTCGAGGGGTGATTTAACGGAGAGTTTTTTGCATAACCAGTTTGGGGGGCTCATATTTGGAGGGGCTTATATATAGAGGGGCTTGTTTTCGGAATTTTACGGTAAATAAATAAATAAATAAATACACAATATACAGTGCAAACCATTTAAGTAATGGTCCAGTAAGAAGAAAAGAACCAAACGCAATGAACTCGTTGGAATGCAAAAAGGTGCCAACTTTACTTAATTGTCTCGACTACACTTCTGGCCCCAGTTGTTCAAATGGTGGATAACACTATCCATCGCATAAATTACTATCCACTGGATAGTGCAATTGGTTTTCCTAACACCTGTCCTTTGGATTGTGATTTATCCAGTGGAAAGTGCTATCCATCTTTTGAACAACTTGGGTCTGATTGGTTTAAACATCAAATTTTTACGAAATCTTGGCAAAGCAGCATGTATATTAATCCCTTGTTCTCTAACCAGCTTCTTCATAACAAAATCTCGTCTGAGTCTAAGTAACACAGAAATCCTTGTGAGGAACTTGTGAAATTGTAAACTATTCTTGGCTACCCTTTGCAACTCTTATGATTGGTTGAAATCTTTTAACACAAGAAAAAATCCTACAAAAATGGAGTTTAAATACATTTTATTTCGTAAACTGCCTTTTTGTAGGTCTATGCATTTTCTGTGTCAAAATGAAAACATTCCTAGGTCAGGAAAGCTTATTTTGCCATAACAAAGAAATTACTTCCCGTCTTACCCGGATCGTTACTTAAATAAAATATTAAATAAAATATTAAATCTTACCTGCAGTACATCCCTGTGGTACTGTTTATTGCACAAGGTGGTTCTAACTTTATGAGTCTGTGGGTCAAACACCTTAATAAGAGTAAGGCCTCACTCAAGTGAAAGCTAATGAATGGTGTTCCTGTGGTACTAACTTTTGAGTCTGTCAATAAAAATATGCTTATGAAAGTCTATTTAAGCAGTATTGTTCATTATATAAAATTAAGTTTAAAGAATTACCATTTACTTGGGCTATTACAGGAACAGGAAGATCCTGAAAACAAAAATAAAAATATTCTAAAAATACAATTCTGTTTTGTGGATTGGAGTGTGTTAAATTACAAGGACATCAATTTCTATGTCAACCTATTATCAATGATAACAATGATAATGACAATGAAAATGATGATGCTTATGATGATGCTTATGTTAATGATGATGATGATGATGACGACGATGGTAACTATAGCAGCATTGAAGAGTGTGACGACAATCAATGACAACTGATGACACTGACAAATCTAAATCAAAAAATTTTATTGTTTACCTGTACAAGAGTCATGACTTCTGTACACCGATGGAATATTCGGGCATGATAATCCTTTCCATGCTCCTTAGTCTACAAAACGCCCATGGTTTGTGTTATCTTTGATAGATTTGAGGGTTTGAAATTTATGTCAAATTGCACCTGAGGCTACTATTTTGGTTGTCCAAGTCAACCTCTATCTTGAGCCATTTCCAAAATCCACAAAAAGGAATATACACTGCAAAGGTAGTTCTATTATGAGGCATTTTATTTATAGTTTTAACATAAAAAATGATACCAAATTGGGTTGTTGGAGGGTCAACCAAACAGCACAAATTGGTCGCCCTGTTGATAATTTTAATTGGCATCACCCCTACTGAAGAGTTGGGTTAAAGTTGAAAACTTTAATTAATTACTCAATTGATTGGATAGCACACAGGAAAACGCACTAACCAACAGGTCATTTTATTATCAGATCTGGAACGATGTCACACTTCATAACCGGCAATAATATGTTGCCATAAGAAACCACCCAAATTGCCAAAGCTTGGTGGTAGCTTACAAGAGGTTATTGCTTACTTGAGGATCTGGACAGTTAATGCTTTGACTGAGAAAACTCAGAATTTTTGGTATTTAATTGGATAGGTTGTTTTGCTGACTGTACTATTAAATAACAATCTTATGATACATGCATTAAACTGTGACAGATGTATATAAAAAATTTTTTCATATAAATCCATCACATTCATCTCTTTCACGGCAACATATGAACATATAATTCACCAGCTCCCAAAATCTGTGGCTTCATAGCTCAGTTGGTTAGAGCATTGCACCAGTATCGCGAGGTCATGGGTCCAAACCCCCTTGAAGTGCTGAATTTTTTTCAGGCTTCTTACGCGATTGCATAAATTGCATTGACAACTGCCACGATCATTCTTCATTTGATGTATCAAACTTATGAGCAAAAAAGTGTCAAACTATGAAGTGGTTGCATGCCACCTGACCACACCAATTTTATTGACTAAAGGGTGCTATTTGACATGTAAAGGGCATTAAAGTTATGCACAAGAATGATAACTTAAGCAGTTGCAGGAGAAAAGCCTAATAAGAATCAGGCTTGAAAAGGATCAAACCCATGACTTTATCTCTGGTACAGTGCTCCTACAATTGAGCTATCAAGCCAACTGATATTCATTATTCACTTTGATAAGAGGGGATTGTCTTACCAGTTCCTTAAGATCATGCCCAGAAGAAAAAACTTTGCCATTTGCAGAGATAACAATCACTTTTACATTACAGTCTAAATCATGGAGTAAATTGGACTTAATTGCATCTAGCATCCCTAAACAAAATGCATTTCTGTAAAACAAATAATCAGAACATTAACATGATTCAACTTACTCGAAACATTTACCTGCAATAAAAACGACACACATGGATTCAAACATGCCAGCTAGTTTCAGTCCCTTTAGTTTAGTTTTAGTCCCTTTTTGGTTCTGATATAATTCGCACAAACTACAGAGTCAGAGTCACAGACACAATCAGAGTCATAAGAGCACCTTTGTCCTAATAAATTTAATCAAAACTTGGAGTCATAGCAGAGATTTGAGAGTCACAATGTTGTCATTTCCCTCTGACCTGTTGAGTATTCATGAGTATATTGAATAAGAGAAACTTTATTTACCCCGACATTGTATATAATCTAGACAAAACTGTGTCAGAATGGGAAGCAAAAGTGACAAAATTAAGCAGTCAAAATGCTCCATACCGCGTCTTGCAAATTGGTTTAGTATATCCACTTCCCGGGGAATTCCGCATATGAAGGGGGGGGGGATGCTCGTCGGAAATTTTCAATAAAACCCCTAAAGGAAACCGATCTGGGCGTGGCCCAAGCTTTTTTTTGACCCCCAAAAGAGACCATGTTGAAACAAAGACAATATACATATTAAATTTTATATTTTTCGCGTGCGACCCCTAAACGAGACAATCTAGTTTTCAGTACATGTAGGTCATAAGCAATGGAGTCAAAAGAGTCAGAATCACTTCTAGATTCTTCATAGATTTCGTTCCAAAAATGGGCCATTGAAAGGATGGGTTAGGATAAAAAACATTCCACTTATTTCATGTACCTACCTCTTTGACGGGTTGTTTAAAACGATTCTCCTTATCCCATTTTCTTGACTACAAATCGTGAAACTTTCGGTACCAGCCTGACATAAAAATCTAACACATGCCTGTTCGAAAGAAAGATGCAAATTATATAAGCTTAAGCTTATCAGATTATAAGATGAAAGACTGAGCTTTTCCTTTAAAATGGAATAACTAGCCAGGAAAAAATGGACTTTAAGAAAGTCTATAAATACAAGTACAAACAAAGGTCAATGTGTAACTAAGATCCTTAGAATTTTGAAAACCACACGGTTTAATAAAGTGTTGTATAATTTGGAAGAAGAAGCACAAAGAAGGCGATCTATTGATAAAGTTCCCTTGCAAATATGACTACCTGAGAAGTCCTGATTCTTTTCAAGGGAAATCGTCTGCTAAAGTTCGAAAACATCACGGCGCAAAATTCACAATGTACGTCATGTAACTGAACTGATATTTCCCAAATTGTACCCAGGCCTCGACCGACAAAAGGGGAACCTTTCTTTGCATGACTTGATCACGTGATCAACTTTCGGTAAACACGAAAACAGTTCACTTTGGAAATATTTTGTCAGCGCAAGCTAGAAGAGCATAGTAAAATTAGGTAACCTGAGCATTTTCAGCCGTATATCTCAAAAGGGTCGTGACTAGAATGGATACTCCAAAATCAGGTATCCGCGCGGAAACTGGAACTGAATAGAATTATTTTCCGGCAAACTCTTCGACTCCTTACGACCAACGACCTGTGTTTTCTGTTGAAGTCATTGTGTAAGCCAAGAATGGATACGGTACTTCAAAATGTGGATCAATGCTCCGATCCGCCGAGGTTAGTTACTTTTCACGTTCATAGCGTAAGCATTAGCGAACAATGATATTATTTTTCGCCGTGTAAACGGTATAGTTAAGCAGTAAGCTTATTAGTTCGGATAGCTCAGGATATGATGGATACTCCAAAATAAGAATGGAGAAAATGTGAAAGTTTATTCATTGTATCGCCATTATCATAAAACTGTTACTAGGATTATTTCCATTATGACTTGATTTCCCTTTGAAAGGATATTTGTAACGTTCTTAAAAGGATAAAAGCCAGTACAAATACAGTCAACCATTGTAATACCTTGCCCCCGACCGCTCCCTAACCCCCCTTGACCTTCTTCATGCATAAACCGATATATTTTCGAGGAATTTATAATATTTAGACTGTACTGGAACCACTGCAAAATGAAAAGTCCTTTTAAATTTCTGAAATGATTGTTTTTCCTCGGAATCTCTGACTTACGAGGTCTGCTCTTGGAATCATCATTTGCTTCGCAACTTGATTCGGATCAAGTTGAGAAACATTTGCAAAGAATTTATAAATCTTCAGATATGGTTAGGGCCCTCTTAAAACATTCTGGCAACATCATTTTAAAAAACTCACACACACCCTCTGCATCAGTTCAGTAGATTTATAATGTGAATTCCAAGAGTTGTTCATTTTCCTTAATGTCCTTCTCAAGGTTGGGGCATTTTTCATTGTTGAATCTAATTAATAAACAGAAAATGGTACTGGTACTTAATAAAGGTTATTGTTATATTAAGAGAAAAAGTTGGTCTTGTTTTCCTTTCAGTCCTGATGTTTCCCTTGACTTCATCTCGGGAAACATCAGGACTCTTGGGAACGGGGTATTGTAAGTTGTAGAGTAGCCTTGTTGCTACGATCTTCTGAGATTAAGCCTTTGTTCTAAGATTTGTTTCAAATCTTTTTTTTTAGTCAGAGTTGAAAGGGCTCCCCTCTTGCTGAGGGGAGCTCCTTTCAAACACTAAGTCCAAAAAACTCCTCACTATGTTTCTTCCTTTTTTTTTCTAAGTCGAAAAGGCTCCCCACCGCAGATTCTGGTGGGGAGTCTTTTCTTTTCTTTCTTTCTGTGTCTAAGTCCAAAAGGCTCCCCACTGCAGATTGTGGTGGGGAGTCTTTTCTTTTTTTTCTTTCTCTATGTCCCAACTGAGATACAAAATGGAGCAAGTAAGATGTTATGGTTGTTCAAACCTTCTGATCCTGGCAAGTCTTGAAGAACACCGTGCATTTAAAAGAGATTGCTGTGGTATATCATTTCACCATAATTGTGTGAGGCAAGAATTTCTAACGTCTAAATGTGTCTCATGCAATACGTACACAGATGGTCTATTGTTAAAAACCGTGGTAATTGAGGAAGAACGTTCAGAGCTGGCTCCGTCAAAAATATTGTACGTTATTTGTATGGCGTCAGAATCTGCGCGCAACAAACTTTTAGTAACCAGATGTTGTCGCCAATTCGCCCACATTTACTTTCTTAGAAGATCTTATAGTATTGCCGATTTATGCTCAACTAAAGACTATGCTGACGAGGTAACGGCGAGGCTTCATAGCAAAAACTGTTTTGTATGTCGTGGTTCTCCTGAGCAAGAAGCACCGTTAGTTGACAAAGGCTTCCAAGTGTCTCCGCATTTCACTTACTTTCCGAACACCCTGATGAGACAGTTCCACAATTTTTTCTTTAATACTTGGATCAACTGGCTCTCTTACCCCAGCAGCCTGAAAATAAGGAAAGTTTACACCTCCATTGGATCTCTCAAGTTTTTGTTTTTGTTTTCCTGTACAACTTTCTCACAGAAATACATTGTAAGTTTTATTTGTAATGCTTTAATATTATTATGATTTCTTCATTCTAAAAATGGCAGTTAAATGCATTCATCAGTTGCCATTAAAGGTTTTATGTTATGAGTATTATATATTAATATTTACAGTTTTAACCTTTGTTATCTAAGGGTAGATGTAACATGTTCATTGACTATTTGCATTACTTTGCCAGTGATGTGGTTCCTGTGTTGAGATGGATCAGGTAGTGTTATTAAATATTTCATCCCTGCATTTCCAGCTTTCTTTTCATTTAGAGCTTGGTGGAGCTGTTTTGCAGCAGTAGCTCTGAAGAACGGGGTGTCTCTGTGAACCTGAAAAATTAAAGCCAACCATTGTGAAATTCAGTGACAAGATTATTGACATGGAGATTATATTTCTTTATTTTTATTAGCAATGCACTTACTGTGGTATAATTGTGCCTTCATATTCAGGCAAAGGACTTTTAAAAGGAAAAGGGGGCATTGAGGAATAAATAACCGAAAAGGGAAAAACTAGCCTGTGTCGCAGCCAGCCCTCACATCCTCTAGACCATTTGTATGGACTGTCTCTATACAGAAGGTTGAGAGTGTCTGCGACACAGATTTTTTTTCATATATTTAATAGTCCAAGTTAGAGTTTCCAGTACATCAAAGAACATATCGGGTAAATGTGGTGTTTAAAAGGTTAGTGGCCTGTTTAGTGAGCCCTCCCCTACCCCTCCCCCTCCCTTGTAGCTCAAGCTGGTAAGTGCAGGGTCAAGTGCTTTGCTTTGCAATGCTTTCCAGATGATAGTGCCCCCTTTATCTCAATGTGTGGATTTGTGGCACTGTATGAGGTTATTTTCCTCCTTCATTTATGTATACATTACCCCCACAAAACCAGCACACCTACCTTGAAATTATGGAATTTGGCAAGTTGTTGTATGTGAATTGCTGCTGGACAGTTCTTCTTTTTGGATACTTGAGTATATGTCCGCTTTCGCTTGTAACAGTGATCATTAACCTAAATGAAGGTAAGTTGAAAATTTACTGTTATTATTATTATTATTGTCTCTATTATCACAGTCTTTGCTGGTGTTCTTTTTGTGCATCAGCCGGGCGCAAACCATGCACCTAGAGCGTCAGTCACTCAAGTCAATCATTCTGTTCATACACTGAGCACCGTGCAGATCCCAGCATGCAGATCTTTTGAATCTCTGTCATATTAGCTCTTTCTGATACTTTCTTGATGTTTTCTACCATACCCTTCTTCACTGTACCAAGCGCACCAACAATCACTACTGTTTTCATATGTCACATTCTCTGTATTTCTAGTTCTAGGTCTTTGTACTTGCATTTTTTTTCAGTTTCCTTCAGTACGATGTTTCTATCTGATGGAACAGTCATATCAATAAGTTTGCAGGTGGAATTCACTGAATCTTTAACGATGATATCTGGTCTGTTCGCTGTTATAGTTCTATCAGTATTGACTGGCATGTCCCACATGATGGTGATGTTGTTATCTTTATTGTGTATCACCGTCTCTGGTTCGTGTTCGTACCATTTGTCTGTAATCTCTATATCATGATCTTTACGTATGCTCCAATGGAGATATGCTGCAGCATTATTGTGCCTGGAGATGTACTCTGTTTTGGCTAATACCTCACATCCAGATACAATATGGTCCACTGTCTCTTCATGTTGCGAACACATTCTGCATTTGCTCTCCACTTGCTGGCCACATATTACTTTCTGGTAGTTTCTGGTGTTTATTGCCTGGTCTTGAGCTGCAACAAGTAGTCCCTCTGTTTCTCCTTTCAAATTACTTGACAACCATTTGTTGGTGGTGACTGTGTCTACATGAGGCTTCTCTAGGATCTTTGGATACTGGCCATGCAATGCTTTGTTTTTCCACTTTTCTTCTTTCATTGACTTCATCCTGGACTTAAACACGTGTTTCAGGGCTTTAGCATTTTCACAGGCAGATTTATCTTCTCTGTACTCAATCTCTGGCATTGTTACTTCCCTTTTGAATTTAGTAGCATTCTTGGATATTGAATTTTTGGCTTTAGATCTTTCATGTTCAAGCACCTGCTTTGGATATTGCCCTTCCTTGTGCTTCAGATAGTGATCAAGCCCTATTGTTGCAGTTTTGAATGCTGTTTCTACATCAATCAGGCCCCTACCTCCATCTTTTCTTGGGATGTACAGCCTTTCCACATCTGCTTTAGGATGTAACATCTTGTGCATGTTCAATAGTTTGCTTGTTTTTGTGTCAATCTTCTTCAGTTCTGAGATTTTCCAGTCAATGATGCCAAAGCTATATTGCACAACTGGGACTGCAAGACTATTGATAGCTTCTATTTTGTTTCTTTTATTATTATTACTATTATTATTATTATTATTGTTATTATTATTATTATTATTAATATTGTTGTTGTTGTTGTTGTTAGACAATTTTCATAAAAAAGACCCCATAAAAAGGAGAGAATCTTACATATGACTTTGTATCCTGCAGGTCTTTTTTCTTCCTTTTATCTTTGCCTTGATGGCACCACAAGATTTTCTCACCGATATGTACATAGGGGATGCCATCAAAGGCCAGCTGGTTTGCTCCTGACATCAGCTTTCCCTTTTCTCTCCCAGCACACTTTCACATTTTTGGAATTTAAAATCTCTATAAAAAAAGAAAGAATCATCCAGCCCAACAAACTTGTCAAAGATTGAGGTGAGAGGTGCCAGGACTTCAAGCTTAAGCTTACCACTCGAGCCAAAACTCTTGTCCTTATTGAAAACAATGAAAGCACTCCTTGCTTCTATTTGATAGTCAGAAATGATTTTATCCACCTCTGCAACGCTGTTTAAAACGTGAATTCGTGGAGGAAGTTCCTCCGCATCCGAGGGATTCATCTATAGCAAATTTCACTACAAAACAGGGACCGCGGAGGGGGAGGGGCTGGTAGGGCCGCGGCCCCACCACTTTTTTGCGCCCCCGCCCCCACTTTTTGCGCTAAAAAGAAAAAAAATTAAAATAAAAAAAAGACTTGAAACAAGTTTTTTTCCGTCTATATTCCGCTGTATTCTCTGTATTTTCTTTAATTTCAAACGCGAGGCATTTTGTGGGGCTCTTGTGCTTTTCGCGGTAATTGTGCCCTTGGGCCGACTTGCCCCTTGATCAAACGCCATGCCTTGGCCACCCCTTCGCTTCCTTCGGCAGCGTGTTTTGTACTTCCAGCTCCGGGAGAGTTTTTTTAATCAGTTTTATCAGACGAAATGAAGAAAATTACTAGCTTTTTCAAGCCAAACGAAGGTGAGTAGTTGTTTTGAGTTGATAAAAGTTTTATATTTTGTCTTTCGAATCAATGAAATATTCGATGGCAAGAAGAGTTACATTACTTGAACAGTGAACGGCCATAGTTAGAAATTTTTCAGATCACTTCAGTGTAGTATTTTCTATACTAAAATTGTAATCGCGTCTTTTCTTGCATTGAATCTGAACTGACCGTGTATAAAGAGCAACAAATACTGGATAAAGTATGCAAAGTCACGCGACAGAAACAAATCAAATACTACGATTTTATTCCTTTTTTCGAATATCAATATGAAAAAATTATTTTCAATTGTCAGCCCTCCCACTTTTCACCTTGCTCCGCGGTCCCTGCAAAACATGTATATCCAGCGTTTCTAACTCTGCGATTTTGAGTTTCCCACGCGAGCCCCTGCTAAGTCATTTACATTCCACTCGCGATATTAAAATCGGAAAGAGAGTCGGAGAGCAAGTCGGAGAGTCGTAGCCATTTGCCGGAAAATAATTTTATTCAGTTCCAGTTTCCGCGCGGATACCTGATTTTGGAGTATCCATTCTAGTCACAACCATCTCAAAAGTAGCGATTGCAATGGCCGCCAATAGTTTATAGATAGACTGCTTGCAGTCAGTTGTTGCAGTCCGCCATTTCTCTTAAAATCCGTCTAGTTCTTATCTCTCGATTATCTCAGCCAGCGCGATTGCAGACCACGACGTTATGTTACAATAAGGGATTAGGACCAGACGCGTGCTTGGGTTTCCTCGTGCAGTAACTTTGCAAAGAAAAATAAGAGACTGCTCGCCGTCTGAAAGTTAGAAGCATTTGTATGAGAGAAACAACTTTTGCCACCCAGTCACGTTTGCATGGTATTCCATACAAACCCTCGTAAATTCTAAAATTTTTAAACTGTTAAATCTTTTCCTTACGCATTTAAGGGCTCAAATTGCCTGTTATGAATTAAAAGATGATTTGAGCCCCGTAAAACTTGAAGGAAATATTTCATTACAGCTTTGAAAATGTCGAAATTTACAAGGATTCATATGGAACACCATGCAAGCAATGCAAGCATGACTGGATGGCAAAAGTTGTTTTTCTCATTGTGTGTTTACCAAAAGTTGATCAAGTGATCAAGTCATGCAAAGAGCCTGTTTCATTGGTCAACTTAATTAACATTCATACCTTGCTTTTTAAGTATAAATTTATAAGCAGAGCACCATCTATAGGCATTCAATGTTCATAAAAACCGGCCTTGTCATCATTTGGTTATTACTGATTTCTTAGACTGTTTCCAGGGAATACTCGAGCAATGAATCCGATCGTGGGTTCTCTTTTATATTTAAGCGAAGACAAGTTCATTTTTTATTGATTGTGACTTCAATGAAATAACTTGATTGTCAACAAACTGATTTATATATTTTGTTTATTTTTGTTCGTTCGTTTGTTTGTTTGTTTTTGCAATAGTTTTGCCCAAAGACAACTGGCACACCTACCCGCTTACTCTTACCATCTGAGCAATTTACATCAGTGCTGGAAAAAAATTCAGGTCAAACTCATACCCTTTTCCTACCATGATAGGTGTCAATATGAAAAATCCTAAATTATTAATCCTTCGTAGTTTGATGCAGATGCTAACACTGGAATTGCTGATATTCGAGTTTTAGAGCCCACACTTCTCGGAGCATATAAAAAGCAAACATGAACACGCGCGCGCGACTTTCGCGACACGCGTTAAGTTTCACGCTGGCCATTATGTTTCAAACCCTCGTTTTGATTATACCCAAAAGTTGAAAACTCATGTCCTTTCCAATCTCTCTTGTCTTAAGAGGGGAAGGAAAGGTGCAATATTAAGCCAAACTGTCTTTCCTTTAGCTGCTTGCACAAGTCGCCGATGTTCATAACCATTGTGGGGAACACTGAATTCCATATTTTCTGGACAAGATGGTTTAGAAGCCTTAGAATATTTGTCCAAATCTGAACTGACGTTCCAGTGAGTTTTGTCCATTTTTAAAACGCACGCAAAATAATGCTTTTCAGCGCAGCTGGTCACGTGCCATCTCTCGTCAGCCGAAAGAATGACGCAAGAGGAGTAAGTGATTGGTTGCCTCGGTTCACCCTCAGCCCAGGTAAATACAGCTGTTTTCATGAGTTCTGCATTGATTTGATCAGCGCTTGGAATAGCAACTCCACACAATAAATACTTCTTAAAATCCAAAATTGTTCCAGCCTTCTTTTGTCCGTTCCAAAATGGTCCGTAGTTAGTGCTATCGCTGTAAATTCTAATGATCTCGTCACTTTTTCCAGCTGCCGAGCAGTTGTTAAGCTGTGATGCGAAGCCTTTGACATTATAGCCTTGGGTCCAAAATTGGCTGTGAACATATTGTCCTGAACGATCATCTGGATCAATAAAAATCACCGTTTTCTTTAAGCGCCGCATTTCTCGCATGCTCGGCCATCTTCCTGAAAATTTAACTTTCAAATCACTTGGTGTCAGCACCTTATTTCCAAAATAGTCTCTAATTAACTGGTTTATTGTCGATTTATCGTGGGGGTTTGTGTGATCATCGAAGTAAATTTGAATTATTTCATTTCTGTTCCTTGGCTTCTGAGTCCATTCCGATATTTCACTCATTCCCTCTGTTAACTCCTTGTCCCATGGCGAGCAGCCTATTTTAAAATCCCCGTTGCCATGGCTCATACGAATCTTACCAAAACAATTCCACAGGTCAATTTCAAGATGGCGCACACCCATGTTGAGCTGGTCAGTAAAGCTGAATTCCTGATTGGCTACTGAGATGCAGACTTGGTCATCTTTTACCGGCCATTGGCAATCGTCCAAATCACCATAACCGCTTGCTCTATTGTTAAAAGCATTATGAGCCCCCAGAAATTGCACACGATTAACAGGGATGTCGATTTGAAGTTCTCTTTGAGTCTTCAAGGCGTATTGAAGCCAAGATGAAATCCTAGCGGTACCTTGAAGGCAAATTCCATGAAATCCGCACTTAGAGCAGTTCGCACCTTTACTAAGCTGATCGCACTGAGCTGTATTTCCATTTCGATGACGCAGAGATCGCTTGTTTTTTCCATCCTGTGATCGAAGGTGAAACTTCATGCCACCAGTGCGGCTTTTACGGACGTAGACGCTAAGATATCTATCCTTCAAAGGTCCCTGTTCAATCTGATACAAAACATGTAGCTTGTAAAGCACTAAAGAAGGCGACCGGGTATTTTTCGCGTAGTCTAGAATTCTTCTAAGTTTTATAATCTTAATGCCACCACTGTAACGTTGAATTCCAAACTCCGCGGCCTCGTTTAAAATGAGGGCTTCCTGCTGCGACAGGTGTTGCTTGTTCAGTTTGTTGAGCACTTTCTCCAGTGCTAGATCCTTCTTCTGGACTGGATCTCGTCGATTTAAGCAAGTTGAAGTCGTTATCCGTATTGTAGAAAAGAAGAAAAACGATATAGCAATGTTGAAGAAGGAGACCAGACCTCTGAGGTCTAAAATACGGTCAAAATTCATTTTTGATTTCTGAAAATGCAACTATAAACTCAGCCTTTTTTTATAGCAGGTGGTAAAAGTTACCTGACCCCACGAAAGCAAGGGTGACATTCGTTTACAGGTACTAAACAGTTATTTTAAGTGCAATGGTTTTCAAGCCCATCAGACTTCTTCGTAATATCAAGTGCCCATAAATTTGCAAAGCTGTTCAAATTAGTACGTAAAAATAAACTTTGCAAGACATACACACGACACCGATAGGACCCAAACAGAGCGGGGTCGTAGCCGTTTTATTTCTCTGAAATTGATTTGGCATACTTAATATCTATAAATCATTTTAAAATATCAATGCAAAATTAAAAGAAGTAGACGCGATTTTGTTTGAAATGTAGGGTCCACTTAAGCACTAATTTTGCAAAAATTTTACCATCAGTAAGATCGGGTTCAGTTCCGCGTTACTGCCGAATGATAGCTGTAGTTATTCATAAAGTTCCGTAGCCATCATGTTATCATAGGTCAATAGACCTTTTTTTAATAACAAAGCCACCTTAACTGAGGTCAGAAGCGCCTATTTTTTTCTGCCGCTCTGCGGTAAAAGCCTGCATGGACTTTTACAAACGCAGTCATCGATAAATCCCGTTGACTCGCCTTGCCCTTGATTTCTATTGTCATTTCAACTGTAAATATATCCGAAATAAGCGTTAGCATTTCAAAAATTTTTTTTTTCCTCCAAAGCGCTTGTGTTCCAAAGAAACGACGGGCTCTGGCGACGAGAAGTCCGCGATCTATGACGTGCCTCCGTTTCCGGGACTTGATCCAATCAAAAATCGAGTGTCTTTCAGCTAAATGTTCGTGTCCAGGCTTCTCGCTGGTTACGTTTACGTTACGTTCGCCTTACGTCGAACGCAATGACAAATAGGTCATTCCTTTACTTTAAAAAAGCTTATTGAAAGAAATGAGTGCTTTGGACAGGGAATACGTCTCAACACAGAAGCTATCAGGGAATTTCTCTAATCGTCCATCCTTCCGCTAGACTACTTCTGGGCTGCCGGGTTTCAAGAGAATCAAATCTACCTAGGAGGAGGGGGAACGGGTTGGGAAGCGGCGAGAAAAAATATAAATAATATTTTATCAGAAACACTTGTGAAGACGCTGCAAACTGTTTACTATCCATGTGGTCAAGAATTGAGGGGAGAATTCTGGATAATGTGAAACCCTCCATGACTTTCGCGATCTAACATACCAACGAACTCTCTGGTCTTAAAAATCGTTCTCGATACTTGCTGTTGGCTTCTGCCGGGTGGGAAGACAGGCAGTTTACAATCCTGCATTCGCCGCTTTAGAAACGAGAAGAGAACTGGAGCCGAAATATGTCCCGCAATTGTTTCTGGGATAGCTACTGGGGACGCACCGGTCAGCTATTGGTCAATTTTTCCCTTACCCCGGTAACAGTCCCAGAAGTCTTTGCAAGGGTTAACTCGATCCAGTTTCCTTCCCGTGTCTAAAGTGTCGAATTCGACAAAGGTGGGGATAGACAAACGCCACCAACTGTAACATCTAAAGTGAGGCATTCGGGGCGGTGGGATCGGGAGACTAAAAAAAATCGTGATTAGCTTTAGCTGGTGTTCCCACGAATTAATAACAGAGTTCTATGAAGCCTCTCCTTAAACGAGCAAGGCTGCCGTCATTTTGAAGCAAAAGATCTGCAAGATGTTCCTATCTCCGTACAATTTTTTCAAAAAAAAAAATTAACGAACAATGTAACAGAATTATTTAACTTTAAAACACCGTTATTTGTGGGAAACATCATTATGGAATTTGGTCAATACTATGGATCATCTTGGCTGAAAAAATCAAGAAATCAAGTGGTCATAACATCTTCAGGATCATTTATAAGAAAAGTTGAGTTAAGCAGTATTTTAGAGAGCACTATAAGCCAATCATAATTTTTGATTTCTTCCACGATTGTAAATAGCTTTTGAAAAGTGAATTACATCCTTTCATTTATTATGTGTTGTCTATCGTATTTTTAAAATTAAATTTTATTTTTGTCAATATAATAACAACAACAACAACAACAACAACAACAAAAATAATACTAATAATAGCCGAATTTTCGAAAACATTCCTCGAAAAGGCTCAGACTGTTTGCATAGAAATCTGGCGATAACCAACCAGGCCTGAAGAGAGTCACCTCATGGCTAAGAGCTGAATTTCTATCACCCAATCTTGCTTTAACACTTGGTGGTGACAAGAGAAACTTATCACATCACAATCTATCTATTTATAGTGTCTCCAATTACCTTTGATCTTAAACAGAAGACACTCAGGCTCATTCGCTTCTAACCCAAGCTATCAGCTTTAACCCGCTTGCAAGGGTAACTCTCGCACAGGCTACCCTCCCTTCTTTCAAACAGGCTCTTAGATCCCGCGAAAATTAGCAGCAATAAGGTAAATTTAGATCTTCACTATTTTATGGTACTTTTCTGTATAATTTTAAACAACACTCTGATGCCATCTGACTAGTGTACAAGAGTCCCTTTATGTTTCTAAACGCAAAAAAACGTATATCTTTACGATCCGTGTCTTCACGAGAATGATGTGGCGATTAACACAAACGGGTTTTTGTCGTAAACGATCTGCAGAGTGAACAAGCAGGTAAACGGAAGAATAGTGGAAGCCGCGGACAAAAACGCTTGTACACGGATTTATGTGGACATGGGCTAAAGCAATGTAGGTACAAGTCCAGGATGGTCCAGCTTCTTTACGCCCGTTGCTCCTTGCTTCTGCTAATAAATTATTATCTCCTCCTGCATAGTTACTAGCTTCATGGGTCCAGGGCGATCCAACTTTTCCACGCCCATTGCTTCTTCCTTCTGCTGATAAATTAGTACCCCCTCCTGCATAGTTACCACCTTTATGTCTACCTCTGTCTTCTTCTTCCGCATTTTTTCTCTTTTCACTTTTAAAATTGCACGAGCGGAGTAAATCACAAACACAACAACAACAACTCCCGAGGCGGAACCACCAGTGATGATAAGAATCATCTTAAGATCGTCTACGGAAAAAATCACACAAAACAAGGGTATACTTAAACAAGATGAATCACTTTCATAGCGGTGACTCAACTAATGCGAGGAACTGTCCAAAAGACATTCAGGATAACAACGTCACCTTGAGACGCAAAGCCACCGATTCAACGACAGTAGTAATGTGGAAAAGTTGATTTGCACACACCATAAGGTGCGCGTTCATGACAACACAGTCTCCAAACTGTAAAGAAATCCATTTGCTTCACTGAATTTTTTCTGAATACTACGCGCGAAATGATTGGTCGTTACTCATGATCTGTCTGAGCAAATACACACGAATGACTTCACAGAAAAATTGTTTTCTCTGCTTTCTCGAAAGTAGCGTACAGTTTAAAAGATGTTTGCATACTCCCCGGGGGGTACTGCCATATATGGGCTATATAGGTATGTGCCGCTGTGAAGGGTATGCCGGTTTTTAAGCAGTTTACTCTAGGATAGGGTATATAAATCAGAGCGTTTGGGTCTAGAATAGGGAATCATTTTTCAAGACTGATCAGCTGGTTGAAGATTTTATATATCTAGACTAGGGATTGTGGTATAAGGTTTTGTTTTGACTAGACTGTGCTAGTGACCTCAGTTGTTTCTGGAAAACAGCTACTCTAGGATAGGAGGGATTTGGGGAGTTTACTCTAGTATAGGATAGCAAAATTCAGCTGAATTAGCTCTGGTATAGGTCAAGGGTTTTAGGGTCCAAGCGGCACATCCCCCGGGCATTACTCATTATTTTTACTGAATTAAGCAAGCAGAGGCTGCCACGAAATTTGCTCTTGGCGACGTCAAAACATCCGTCGACCAGCTGCAACAAATCGAGTTCTACTTTTCTGTTCATTGTATGAAGCAAAGAAAAACAAAATACGATTTGTTCGTTCAGTCACAGATCAGAGAAAATGGCGTCAAAATGAGGTAAGAACATCAATGGCACAGGCCGATCACCACACTTTGACGTCATTTGCTATCTTTCAGTGAACAGTCGCAGGACAAGATAGAATCTTTTACTTGAATGGAAACCTTTTGGGCTTTGCTACACATTTAAGAAGGTAATGCCGCTTCTTTAGTGCTAAGCAAATATCCTCTGCGTACCCATAACTTAGTTGCCGCTGCTAAGGAGTCTATAGCCTGCGAACAGCAGACGCATTTCCGGTCGTCGCTTCTCTCCCTCCGAAAAGAGAAGCGACGACCGGCAATGCGTCTGCTGTTCGTGGGCTAAGGCTAAGTTAAAAAAAAATGGTAATTGGCTGTGTTTTAAAACATTTTTTCCCTTGACCTTACTGTAGTATCGAATAGAAAACGACAAGAAGTTTGGCCTACCAGTTTTTGAAGATGGCTGTGTTGTTGTAGCCGGCAAAGTGTGGCTTGAATATGTTGCAGGTTTAACCTTCATAGAAATCGTTGGAACATGTGGGTTCTTTCATAAGGGATCCTTCTCTGTTCCGTACAGAATTAGCGACCAGCTGTAAAGAATACCTTAAACAGACAATTTAAAACAAGAAGGTAACCAGAAAAATATTAAATGAAGTCACTGGGAGAAATCCTTAGTTATAAACAAGAGTTTCATTATCCATATGAATTTAGATAGTTGGTTTTAACACAAGCGAAATTCTCTTAAAGGAGCCTCTTGATAATGAAGAAAACACCTAAGAATACTGTCTGTACAATTCTGGCCAAGTTACTGACAGCAGCGTCGAAGTAACTAGTAAACATGTTTCTCCACTCCACTGCGGTTTGTTCACACCTTCCATCCGAGTTTCAGAACCTCTGGATTATTCAAGCCAAAATTCAACTTCCCCAGAAATTTCGAAATATCGAGATTCCAACTCGTTATATAATCTAGTTAACTGAGGTAGCCGCCGCTCGGTTAGTAGCCCGCCTAGCAGTCGTTTTCGTTTTCATTATGCGCCATGCCGCACCAAGCGAGGGAAGCGGGGAAGAGCCGCCAGTGCTCCTTTCACCTCACACACTGGCAGTGCGTCTTCCGTGCCTCTCTTGCTTGGGTAAAAGGAAACGGAAATGATTGGTACGCAGTCTATCCAGTTAATTGACCCCAGGCTTTTGAATGAGCGGGAGTCTCGGATACAATTCCCAGCCAGACCACAACCAGGGACTTTCAAAAACCCTGTTTTAAGATCATGTATCACTTACACTTTGTAAAATAGTCTATTTATTGGGGGGCAACGTTGAGCCGTTGGCCTTGACACCTTTATCTTGTCTTCAATAGAACCCAGGCAGTCAGTATGGAAAGGCATTATCAAATCCCATAACCATTCAAAGTGGCGTGTTTCAGGGGAGTGGGGCTGGTATTATTTACACTATACATTGATGATTGACTATCTTGCGTTCTATTTCAGTTCTCCAGTGCAATGGGGTCTACAATGATGTATGCTGACGACAAAGTGATCTACTTTACTTCAAAAAAATATGTCCAAACTTAAGTTGACGTTGAATTTGGAACTAGTTATTCTCTCAAAGTAGCTTGAACTTATCAAGCTTATAGGCAACGTAAAGAAGACTAAATGAATGGTTTTCGGTCGGCGGCAGGGTCTTGCCTCGCAGAACAGTAACACTTTCGATCCAAATGTCCATGGTCAATCTATTAAGAGCACGAATGCTTTTAAATATCTAGGCGTTATATCGGATATAGTTTATTCCTTTACCACGGCGGAGCTACTGATCTACCAATGAAATCGTTACCAGTTTGGGTTGACAGCCAAATCTTGATGTAGAGTTTCTACTATTTTTCTTTTATCTGTTCAATAACATTATTGTCAGTCTTTCTTTCTTTGTAGTTTTTAAAGGGGCTACGTCACCCGTGGCGCATGCGCTAGCCAGTGAAAAGACCCTGAAAACAAACTTGAAAAAGACGGCCCGTCTTTTTCAAGTTCTGTTGGAGATTTCGGAAGGCTGTTTTTAGCTGTTGAAATCTCAGCCATCGTTCGATAGTTAGCGAAGTTTTGAACTAAGAATCGTTCTATGGTGATTACAGAAGAATATTTTTGCATTATTTTGAAATTTTTCGTCCTTGGATTTTTTTTACGTGGATTTACAATATCCTCTTACGATTGTCTTACCAGAGGCCGTTGAATTAGCAGAGAATTAACGACGGCTACTCCACGATGAGTGATGGAATCTTAAATGGAATCTTCCTTATAGTTCACAGAAACCTTCTGTTGAGTCATTTTAGAGGCTGCTGGCTCTTGAATTTTTTTTTGCGTGTGTGTGTTCAAAGTATGTTGACATGAAGCGGCTATCGACGCGCTTCCAGGCGGATGTTTCTATTAAACGATTACTACAGCGTGGCCATGAGTTTTGAGACGAAACTAATCTTCTGGCGAAGGAAATGTTATACATTTCGGCTAGATTCCTTCTTTTATTTATCTTCATTCACGACAACGATAAAAAACGACCGTTTACTCGTCCAGCTTGTTCTCAACGGACTTAGATAGCAACGGACCAGTACGAGTTAGATTCTGTGGTGGTCATGTTTATGAACTGTTTGTGTTTGAACATATTTTGGAAAATAGCAGAGTTTATTTTCCCTTGTTATTCACGCACTGCTTACAATGGAGCAGAATACCAATAATACTTGGTTCTGTTTTTCTCGACGTCGCAGTGATTCAGCACGATCGAACAAATTTGCGCAATCAATGTGTGTTTCGCTTCAACACGGAGGCATCTTGTCCTGTCAGCATGCGATCTAAATTACAAAGATCAGTAGCGAGAGACAAGTCTAGTAAAGTAAATTGAAACAGTCCTGGTCTTTACCTTTGGTCTAAAGTTTTGTAGGTCGTTTCTTAAATAAGACTGATTTATTTTGTTGACTACGACAATATGTTGCTGAATTTTTGTTTGCGCTATATTTTTACAGGACCTGAACAATCGATGGCAATCGATAACAATCGATGACAATCGATATCAATTAATCGATTGATATTGATAATCGATGGACAATCGATCACAAAAATTTTTGTGATTATCGATTATTATCGATTATCAATATCAATCGATAATCGATGGCAATCGATGACAATTGATATCAATTACTCGATTGATATTGATAATCGAAGGACGATCGATGAGGAAAATTTTTGTGATCATTCATTATCATCGATTATTAATATCAATCGATGGGAATCTATCAATTAACATAATAGATTGTTATCAAATATGCAATATCAATCGATAACCCCTCACCAGTCAAACATTTCCATTGTCAATTTCATAGAGTACTAATAAAGTTACACATTTTGATATCATTGCTTTTAATTTGAGTATAAAAACTAGCGAGTAGCAATGCGTAAACTTGTTTATTCGCCCACACGTTTCGCGCGAATTTAAAATTCATAGAAACGTACTACGGATTTGTGTGTAAGAAAAACGAACCCCACTGTTATGCTACCACGAAAGGACCAGGCAGGGGCGGCACAAGCCATCTAACCGATTTCGATGAAACTTGGCCAATTTGAAGGGGTCTGCCCAAAACTACTTCACGCTAAGTTTAAGGAAATTTGGTCGAAACCGGGGGGAGTTGACCACCCCCCTTGTTTTTTTTTAAAAAATGACCAAAAAACACCTAAAAATTGGTCAAAAGTATAAAGCTCTACTGCTAAAAGAGTTCCACCAAATCTTTTCGTATTTTCAGTGAATGTTATCCTACCCAAAGACAATTTATTGTAACTGTTTCGTTCTTCTACGACAAGTTCCTATGACACAAGTCATCTCAGCCAAGACCCCCCCTCTCACCTAATAGTGAAAATTGTTGAAATATCCAAAGTTTAGGCCAAAACATCTCCAATGCCGGAGCATGCTTCAAAAAACGGAGCATACCGTCTAGAAGGCGGGACTTCATACTAACATTATCTGCAAAAAAATCTTTGGGCACTCATTTAATTATTCCACAGGAAGACTGCAAACACGTCGCCCACCACAGGGTACCCGCGTCAATTTTTTTCCATTTTAACGCGCTAATTCGGTAATTATGGCACAGCAACAGACAAATAATGCCACAAAATGGTTGCACACCATACACTTTGATGAAATAGAACCATTTCTATCTAATCGCTAGAATAAAAAAACTTGGCCCACCAGAGGATACCCACGTCATTTTTTTTTTCATCATTCCCTTTCTAATTCGGTAATAAAGACATAGCAGCAGGTATAAAATGCAGCAAAATGGTTACACACTATAAACTTTAATGAAATTGAACCATTTGAAAAGCTCTTGTTTGTCTTAAGCCATGAAAATGACAATCGACGGCTTAATGATGACCTCTATTATTGTATAAGGGAACTTCGTGACGGAACTTACTCATCGCTTTAAGTCAAACACGAGAGTCACAGAACCCTATCAAAATGCTTACATTGTCTGTATTTGAACGTTAGAATGATCGTATAATGAAACTGACTTTTGTTTATCTAATAAAGGAATAATGCATTTGCTTGAAACTTGCACGCCACATTGTATCTTGATGCAGAAAACTTTATCAGAAAGACCTCGCTATACTGAAAACAAAATAAACTGCGTGTTTTTGTGACTTGTGCCCTAAAGAACTTTCCTTTGTAAGAACTATCAAAGACAAAAGTCAAAATAGATATAATCAAACAGACAAACACTCTTATCGAAAGTAAAGTTACAGTTCTAGCTCCCTCCTGATTTGAAACCGTGATCTGATAATGGGAACTTCAGCCACATATGGGTCTTTCTCCTCATCTTCGCTTTCTCCTCCCTCGGGTACCGGTTCTGTTGGCGCTGGCCTCGCCTCCTCTCTTTTATGAAGACCCCCACTCCTGTTTAATGAGGCCATTCTTCTGAAATGTCCGGAGATCTGGGTAGATGTCAGCCACTTGTCTTTGGCAAATACCTTCGTTCCCTCAGCGGTTCGCACGGACCTCATTCGTGCTGCTACATCCTCAGCTGCTGCTTTATTCCCTGTGTCCTCTCCTTGAAGGAAGACTTCACGCAAAAATTGGCGCACTTTAGTGGTGAAATGAACGGACTTCTTGGTCTTTTTTAATGCCCAGCCCATGTCAGCTGTTGGCAGCGGGTCTTCCGACTGGCTATGGGAAACTGAGGCGGATGCAGATGTGGGCGGCTGAGCTGTTCTCACGTAGCTACCAGAAATTGACTTGCAGGTCTCTGCCCCCTTTTTCGTTATCACGTCGTACGTGGACTCTCTCTCTAACGCGAGAAGGTGGTTCCGGGCATCAACGTGACGCTGAAGGCTGCTGTGACTTTGGTAAACTTTTATGCAACCCTCCTCTGGGCAGCCAAAGGCCACACGCTCTTCTTCTTCAAGCTGAATCCGTTCTACGGCTATAGGGTCCGTTGGAGGTGCTGCGGGCTGCTGTTCTTGCGTGCTGGAAGATGCACGGAAGACACCAGTCAGTATGTCAGGACTATTGAATGCCTGGAGAAATTGTAAGTCTGTCGGGCCTTGAGGGTTACCGTGACGCGCTAGCGACGACGCGGAAAAGACCTTTCCGGGGGTCCGACATTGTAGGCCCGCCAAGCGATCATCTCTCCACTTTCAGTGAACACGAAGTTGTTCAAAGACTTAATGCCACTCAGCGAGTGCTTGGTCATGTTTTGGGACCTTTCGTCAACCTTGCACATCACTGAGTAGCGGCCTTTGACGCCCCCGTGCGAGTCAATAGCAGCTTTCATGTCACTTGCTGTCTTGACGTCATTGCCTTCATTAATGTAGCGCCTAATGTGGCTCTTCAAGGCGGCGGCTCGGCAGTCACATACGTCTTTCCCAGCTTGGGCCTCACTGAAGTCATAACGAGCTATGCGGACACCAACTCGCTGTCCAAGGCTTGGAAGACTGAGAAGAAGAAATGCGCAGTGATAACAGCTTGCGTTGTCAGATCTCAGGAAAGTTTCATTCAGTCTAGATTTCTGTCGCTTCATGGTGGTTAGTGAATCTTCGATGATGGAGGCAACGCTGAACCAGTTTTGATTGCATTCATCAAATAAGTGGATATATGTAAGTGTCTGAAAATCATAATAGTAAAGCATTTTTTACCATGAATAGTGCGCCAAGGGACCTGGTCACAGTCAAGGGCTAATGGAGTATTAACCTGCGCATTTTGACTTGAAACAGAGATAACACCCGGGAAGGTCTGCTTTTTTCGAGAATGTTTATGGACTTTTATTTGGATTAAAAATGTATTCCGTCCCATGATCTTTTGCGCGCGCTTACGTGCGTCGCCAACGTTTTATCTTTATATAAGAGCCGAAAGCAATGAAATGTTGAAATTCACTATTAGGAATTTAAGCTTTCGCGTCTTTTCTCGGCCTGGAATTCTTATCAGTTATCCAATTTTGCAATCGGTTAGCGCAACAAAGACCGCGCTCACGAGAAACTAGTTTATAGTGGTCAGTGAGCGATAAAGACAGAAGAGAAGGAACGTGATTTCTACCTCAATTGTTCCATCTTCTGCTTTAGTGATGGCCACCGAGAGATGCCAGGACTTCCCCTTCTTTCGAAACCAGTCGCACTGCGTTTCGTTAAAGCTGGTGGGAATAAACTTCATCGCCCAGTCCATTATTAGCAGCACCTGTGATGGTTTCAGGCTCTTGGCCGCATCCTGGTGAACTGAACGGAGAACGTGCGACTTCCAATCTTCTATGCTCGGCGCAGCGCAGCTCAAATCATGCTTTAACTCCTCTCGTTTATTAGGACTAAAAAGGGAAAGAGTAGAGCTTGTCAACATCACGGCGCGATAGCGTCAGAAATTTTTCTTTGGAGCCGTTTTATCAAAAAGTAATAATGCCTCTCTCACTTTTTTCGTAAATTGCGTTTCATTTAAAACATATGTTCATTAGGTTTAGAACCACCCAAAGCAATTTAAAATTTCTAAACTCATATAAAGCGCCCTGGGGATTAGGTTGTTAGTTGACAATAAATGCTAAACTCTGCTTTTCTGTCACAAAGATGTTCTTACCTTAGATGTACTTCACCTGAATCCAACGCTAGTTGCAGATCTGAGACAGCATTCTTCAGGTCTTCGCACCGGTCACAGGTGATGGTATGCTGATGTTGGCACTGACCGTTGTACTCTTTCTCTGTCCTACTGAGGGCGAAAACTCTGCAGTGATCTGCGCACGGGGATTCGCTGGCTGTGTGGATCTTGAAATCCGTCTTCAGATACTGCCGACCTACTTTGAGTCGTATTAGAATGTTATCGGCCATTGTGCTATCCAGTCCTGTGATAGAAAAAATACACACAATAATAAATATTGATACTCCGTCAGCTTATTAAAAGTTGTGACAACTCGTGCACCTACAGTAATAATGGAAGGTGTTTGTATCTCACCGGCTTGTTTGAGTTGATGAGTGATGTCTTCAAGAGTGGCGAGCGCCTGTACCCCATCTGTCTGAGTGCTATCAAGACCGGCTAACGATTTCTTTAGTGAAGCCCCACAAACCTGAAGAGAAACAAAAATGCTTTGGTTTCAAACTAATTCCTAAATGCAAACCATTACTACTACTACACCACTACTACAACTACAATTAACCCTGATCAAAATTCGTCCTTTACGAACGTTTTATAATCCGTACCTTGATTATATTGAAGAGCGTGGAGCGTCCGAGAGGCTCAAAATTAGACTCTACACAAAAGTTCAGGTACACGCGCACTAGGTGGGAGGATATAACTGTGCGCACCATGTTCGGGATTTCTAAGCTCTCTCCGCTCTCCAGTTTAAGAGTTCTGGTGCCATATGCCACATCTTGAAGAACTGATGGACTGGACAAGAAGTCAAGAAAGTGGTCAACTTTCACAGCATCCAAACGGCATCTGATGATCCTTGGTGGGTCAATGGGTTGCCCGGGCTTAGTTTGGAAAGCGTGCTTCCTTGCCTCGTCGATTCTCCATTTTGAGAGACCCGGAATCAAAGCCAATAGCTCGCTCTTCGAGTAGTCGTTCACGAAAAGCGACAGCATCTGCTGTCTCGTGTACCAATAGGCGGCTTCCTCATACAGAATCACCAGTCTGGCAACCAGCGTGTATTCGACTATACCCTCGGCCGCTTGTAAACGAATCCGCCGTTGCATGACTTGGTGGTAGAGCCAGGAGGCGTTGCCAGGGGCAATGGATTCAAGCACGCCTTCGATAGCCTGCTCCGCTTTTTTCCGGTAGTAGCGCTGGGTTCTGGATGTCATAGTAAGAACGTCACATTGGCACTGTGACCTCACCGGGCTGACCCTTCCTTCAGTAGCCATTCTGAGGAAATTATTAAGGTAGTAAAGGCGGTGCTGTATTTGAGGGGTGGGCTGCCATTCTGCCGACGTCTCTGCTGCGCCAAGAGACTCCTGGGATCCAGACGACGTCCGCGACAAAGCCTCTGAATGGCGGTCGCTGGGGTCTGAGTCGCGATCGCTATGCTGGAAAAGAAAAAAGCTGTATCTAGGAAATATCTGATTATTCCATCAGTTTGGCATTATTACCGTATAGTCAGGGTGCACAAGTTTTACATTAAAGAATTCCTGTTGGCCGGTATGCTTTGCGCCCGTTGGCTTTGTTTATGAACGCTATATGAATCTGCTCAAACTTCTCTAAGATTAATAACAGGAGTAGAATGAGCTTTGAATAGTAATTGTTACGAGTTATTGATTATTATATTTTATTAAATTTCGCGCTCTATGCTTCAAATGAAGTTCGATAAATAAGAGTGAGCAACATTCCAAACCACGACCGCAAAGCATACTCGAAGACAGGCATTCTTTGAGAGGGGACAATTTTATGACTCAACCATACAGTGACTCTCAGTATAACAACCAATTTTAACGAATTCCGATTTTATTCAAAGTCTATGCAAATTAGTGTGAGAACCAACATTATGCCCAATACATCAAGTAACAACGACCCCTCTCCCTCCTTTCCTGATTTGTTCTAAAGATCAGTAGTTTATGACAACAATTACAAAGCAAGTGACGCAAACGTCCCGCCCCTTTGAAATCAGTAAACTCATTCACACATTGCCGAAGAAGAACTTACCTCACTAATGAGATCTTCTTGGAATCTTACGTTAAGGACAGGGGCAGCAGACAATTGTTCCGATTCTTCTGTAGCAGGCGGTAGTAACTGTGGTGGCTCTACTATTTCCTCTGCGGACTCCGTAGAACATGAAGGTTCGTGAATCTGAGGCTCTGGGTGAGACGTGGAAGCCAGTCCGGAATCTTGTACTTCGGAATCCGCGTCAGTAGAACCTACAGTTCTTAGATGGTCACCACGGCATTGTCTACAAACCCCTGCGTACAAGAATAAACCTAAAATGAGTTTTGGTAGCATTATGGTTTGTTAGTTTGTGGTAACAGGCTGGATAGAACAAACTGTTTGGAACTTTTCCCAAGCAATAAACGGCTTGCCTGCATCCATTAAGGCATTCTAATATTTCCTAGAGGGAGGGACTTTACCAAGCTAGATTCTAAATAGGTTTGTGCCGCCATTCCTAGTCAAAAGAGGGCCCCAGAGGGCCCCGTCTTCAAAAAAAACATATATCTGTGGAAACAGAAACCTCTTCTTCTGAAATTGGGGTTGTAAATTTGACCCTGTTGGAAGTATTAGTGATTAGTGCTGTAGATAATACTAGAAGTCCGTGCGATGTGGTAGGCCAGCGTAGGCCACCACTAAATGTATAATTAGCGGCAGTTCCAGTGCCGATTTTAAACAAAAATCTGATAATTTTTCAGTGAGGCGCTCATTTTCACGCCCCGTTCTAGAACACTCATTCTTAATTGACACCGGGCTCTATATTAAAAGGCCTGGCCTTGAGGTTTCGCAAAAAAAAAAATCTGTATAGTCACTGTAGCTTTTGAGAGAATTGCCCTATCCCCCGCCCCTCCTGGGGAAAAATGATCGATTAGAAGCAGGAACCTATAACTATGGGCTACCGTTAGAACGTAACTAGCTAAGATACAAAAAGGAAAACAACGGAAGAGGAAATTGACCTGGTAAATTTCAAAATAGATTAAAACTCTTGTAGATCAAAATTCACCACACAATCGCTTATTTGTTTGTTTGTTTGTTATTCTTTTGCGAAATAAATATCATACCCTATAACTCATAATTAATTTCTTACAAGATCTTCCATCCTTCCCTCCACCCCCGCCACAAAAAAAAGAAAGAAAAAAAACACTCCTTTCCCACTTGTGTATATATTAATAAAACAATTGACTAAACTTGTGTTTTAGTCAATCATTTGCCCCATGTAAGGGAATCCGGATTCCGGAATCCTAGAAAATTTTGCTAGTGGAATCCGGAATCCCACTAATGATTGAAAAAGAACCTAAGTTCCACTGACAAATACTGGAATACAGTGATTGGTATCCTGTCTTGATTCCCTTACATGAGGCGAAATCATCAAGAAATCAAAGCATGTATAAGTACCGTATATACCTTCAGTGATCATGCATACCTGAGCCTACGGGAACCAAAACGTCCCACGTTTCCTTTATCTCTTTCGACATTTTCAAGTTCACCCCTCTGGATACTTTACCGTTACAGCGACCATGAAGCGGATGCTGGCATTTTCTTGAAGGACAATACTTTGCTCCAAGTAAAACGCGATGCTTTTGGCAAATAACCATATCCTTACCCTCCTTGTCAAACAAACCGACACGAGCAAGTATCAGCGCTCTCTCAGAGGCTACACATGATTTTGTTGTTTGCAATTCTCTCAAGTGCGCCTTTACATCACTGACGCAAGAATTCAAAGGAAAAAACTGTGTACGATGGGGGTATCTAGTTGATACGTCACACTCACTGGTACAGTGCACGGCAAAAGAGCACGAGAACTGCGACATCGTTTTTAACGAGAGACCTTTTCACCTCTACATCCTATACCTCTAACCGATCGGCGCATGTGAGGAACACTTTGAAATATCCATGCGCGTGCACGCTTTTTCCTATCAACGGTCTATTTATAGAAAGCGTGTGAATCTCAACACTGGTAGGTCTATTACATATCCTAAGCCCGAATTCAACATTTACGATCGCCAAACCTTTATACATGTAAAAACTCCGTTTTTAAAGAAGAAAACAAAATAACTCACTTCGTTCGCGTCAATTTGTATTTTTAAAGCGAAAGTTTGTTCTGTTTGTAGTTATTATGGAAAATCGAATCAAGCTATCAAATTACAAAGATGTATGCGCTTGCCAGGAAGTAATTTCCGGGGATTAGAAAAAAAGAAGCGTTTGGCTGTAAAAAGCCAAACGCTTTTCTCCTTTTTTTCTCCTTTTCAGGAGTATTAGGCAACCGACTTGAGTCGCAAGCAAATCAATTTATTTTCAGAAAAGGGAATTCTTTTGTATAACGTTTTCTGTATCAAGATGCAATGTGGCGTGCAAGTTTCAAGCAATTTGTACTTGTACTGGATGTTACTAAAACGGGGAACGGGGAGCGGGGAGCGGGGAACGGGGAACGGAAGTCTGGGAACGAGTTGTCAGCGGAAACCTCCATATCCAATATGGCCGGTAAGGATCAAGAACCCGGTAAGATCGATGATAGAGAAGCGTCGAAACAACACTTAAGGTCGCTATTTTACTAATGAACTATATGCTCATGAGGTGCTTGAAATAATACAGAGGTAATAATGTCATGACATTTTTCACCTTTTTGCGTTTTACTAAACAAGAAAATATGCTCCAACAGCAGTTGAAAGAAGCTACAGTCGGGACAAAAACTCTCAAAGCACAGCCATATTTGGAACTCAAGCGAATCTATACAGCAGATACTGGGTCTAACTCTC